GTATTGAAACTGTACGAAAATCTAATGATTTGGAACGTATTTATTGGTAATAATTTTTTAGAGGATAAGTAATATTTTCTGTGTATATTTGAGTTTTGATATTTTTGTACTATTGAAATTAATTGTGCCTTTTTAAGTGTTCAATATTAACAAATTGAGATTAAGGATATAATAGAATTCTTTGAAGGATTTTTAGCTGTGCGAAAGAATTCAAGTAAATCACATCCTACGAGTATCTGTATGTATGTTATTACACATTACTATTATATATGTATAGATATACATACACGCATATAATTCGAAATTACGCTGTTCCCCTTGTAATAATTCTCATGCACTGTTATCTATTATTTGAATATATGTCTATAGTTTTAATAAAAACATATTTTGTACAAGTTATAAAACGATATTGTATATGTTCATCATACTGTGCATTTTTTCAATACTAATTAGGAAATTAATCGAACTATATATAATGTTAATTAATGTGAATGTTACATATATTGTTTTAAATGAACAAGATTAAATAAATGTGATAAAATTAATAAATAATTAATTTATGAGTTGTTCAGAAGGACTTTACACTCTACGTAGCTGTAAATTAAATAAACAATGCGAACCTACGACATATGCGATATTTGAAGAACATTCGCACGTTCAAATATGCCGCTAATTCGTTTGAGCTTATTTGTATTCGTCACGTTGGCAGCCCCGAAGCGCCGGCATATATAAAGATTTATTTTCTATTGAATCATCGTAGCAATCCATAGCAATCAACAATTGCGCCCTGATCTCGTACAGTCTCGTCGTCTCGTGCTGACCTTGGAACGTACAATTCGGTCGCAGTTAGTGTCATAGGATCCTTTCGATAAAAAGGGGGCGAGAAACCTGGAGTGCGATGAAGAAGCTTGTGTTATCTTTGCAAATATTAATCCTCGTATCAGTCGCGAGAGGATTTACAAATGTTTATCCAAAACCTAAGAATTTTCCCCTTAGCGATGGGGATGTTGGTTCGCCGCTTTTCTTGACACCCCTCATCGAAAGCGGAAAAATAGACGAGGCTCGTATCAAAGCCGCCGTACAGCACAAAGAAATGAACGATGTCAACAGTTATGCCGGTTATTTAACTGTGAACAAAGCGTACAATTCGAACATGTTCTTTTGGTTTTTCCCAGCTGTGGTAAGTCATTTGTTTAGACTCGTTTCTCATGCCCGTCGTTTCGTAATTTATCCCTTTGCCTAATGACTTCTTTACTTTACGATGAGATCTCAGTTAGGAATGAGATAGACTTATCGTTCTTTTTTTTTATACAGCATAATCCGAAGACTGACCCCGTAGTATTATGGCTACAAGGTGGTCCTGGAGCTTCATCAATGTATGGTTTGTTCATGGAGAATGGCCCGTTCTACGTAACTGTGAATAAAACACTGGCAATGCGTACATACTCATGGACCAAGTCTCACAATGTCTTGTATATTGATAATCCAGTTGGAACTGGATTCAGTTTTACTGAAGATGAAAAGGGCTATGCGATCAACGAGACAGACGTGGGAAGGGACGTTCATACGGCATTAGTTCAATTCTTCCAATTGTTCCCTGAACTTCAATCAAACGAGTTTTTCGTCACTGGCGAATCCTATGCTGGAAAATACGTGCCTGCCGTGTCTCACGCTATCAAAGATTATAATATCAAAGCGAAGACGAAGATCAATTTAAAGGGTTTAGCAATTGGAAATGGACTCACTGACCCAGAGAATCAATTGCTGTATGGTGATTATTTGTATCAATTAGGTATACTCGATTTGAACGGGAGAGACTTGTTTCATCAATACGAAGAGAAGGGCAGAAATTTGATCAAAGAGAAAAAGTATATCGAAGCCTTCAATCTGTTCGATGATCTACTGGACGGTGATCTGAACGGGTATCCGTCGTTGTTCGCAAATTTAACTGGGTTCAAGTATTACTTCAACTATTTGCATACTCAAGATACAAACGAATCCGACTACATGGTGGAGTGGCTTCAAAGAGCAGACGCTAGGAAAGCTATACACGTCGGCAATTGCACGTTCAACGTTGAATCTACCAAAGTCGAAGAACATCTGAAAGCTGACGTCATGCAGTCTTTGGCAATTCTTATATCAGATCTGACGCAGCACTACAGAGTTCTCATATACAATGGACAGCTGGACATTATTGTCGCATACCCCTTGACGGAGAATTATTTGCAAAAGCTGAAATGGTCTGGTGCTGATAAATATAAAACAGCTAAGAGAAAGAAATGGTACGTCGACAACGAATTAGCTGGCTATTCAAAGACCGTGGATAACTTGACGGACGTGTTGGTGAGAAATGCCGGACATATGGTTCCTGCCGATCAGCCCAAATGGGCTCTCGATCTCATCACTCGTTTTACAAGGAATAAAAACTTTTAGATATGATATCTCAAACGTCTATAACTTATCTTACAAGAAATGTGATAATTCCTATCATACTCAACAGATACCTTTATACTTAACATAGAACTACGTGAAATGTATCTTCAAAGAAATTGTGAAGAATACTTAATAGAAATAAAATATTAATGTTTAATTTTGTATTACAAGACGCAGTAAACTGTAAATCTAATTTTCTGTATAAATACAACTCGTGTTCCTTGATATTGATATTCTTATCGGGTCTTACAATTAACGCTCTCGCATATACGATGTCGCGTAAAACATTGCGACATTAGAATTAAATATTGTCAGCTGTATCCGTGATGCAATCTTTAGATATTTATTTAGTGTAGATTTAGCTTTGTAGTATACGGTACTGTTTTATAAAATTTGTCTATTGGCCGAGTATACGAGGCCACGTGATCGTGAACGAAGACACACGAATGCGCACCAGTCGATCTTGCATCGCGAGAAGAGTGGATCGAGCTCCCGCCACCACTGCCCACCACCGCCGTAACTGGCAGCGCGGCTCAGCTGTTTCTGTTTACTAAACAAAGGAGTCGGGAAATCAGTTCAACGGTGGACGGCGAGCGGGACACGTTCGTGTGTCCGTTGGCGACACCACTTCATTTTCTAACCCCTTTTTTTGACCAATCAACAAAACCGATCTCGCTTCATAGTAGCGGAGAAAAATCGCAAGTGCTAGTCCGACCAAGGTATTCCAGGGAGGTTCGCCGATCGTTGAACACCGGACACTCGAGAGACATCGGAGGACCGAAGCGAGAAACGACGAGAAAGCAGTGAGTAACATACAGACTTACGAAGGTATTCTTTCGGATTACGTACGACCTATCGTCGCGTCTGACATCCGGACGCAACGCCGCGATCCTTGACCCGATTCCCTCGCGATATTCTTGTACATCGTCTTAATTTTGCTACCGTTCAATCCTTCCAAACTTGCGCTCGATCGATCCATTTAACTTTCGACATAGAACGGACGGTTCCCTGTTCTCATATTATCTCGAAATATTCTACGCATCGACCACAGCATTTGCTGTCATCAGCTTTGCCTTATGACACGTACGAACGTTGAATCGTTGTTCATTGAGACACGTACGTTGCCCTTGTGTCAGAGGTGCGATTTAGAAAGGAGCAGGTAGAATGCGTACGTTTTAATACCGAATCGATCTGTTTCTTTGGAAACAATTCGACGTGCACGGTCACTCGATGATAGAGCAGACTTCGATTTTCAACGTCTTTTACTTACATAATATCTATCAGCTGTGCGCGAACGATAGTCTATCCTTCTAAGTAGCGCGTTTTGACAGCTGCTACGTATTGTTATACCTATTTACTGTCATCGTTGCGGTTGTCTCGAAACGGGATTCTCTATCTTTATAGCGTCCCTCAATCTAAAACTGGTTTTTAAGAATTCGCGATATGCATTGTTACCTGGCTTATCGACAGCACTAGCAGCAGTTCATTGCTGATAGATTATAGGTGTCGTTTGCGCGTAGTTTGTATTGTTCGTACATAAATCTGTCTCATACGTAGTAATAGATGTTCGTTAAGTTTTCGTAGGAGGTATTTAGCAAGTAAATAGACAATCAGACGCGATGATACAACGTAAAAGAAACCTGAACAAAGAAACGAATCATCAGAATTGCGTCGTTCCATGTCCACTAACTCCAAGGCCAGCACAATCGAAAGGAAACAGTAACACGTTAAACCGAAAGTGCAAAAGTGATCAATTATCGTCTCGGATAGAAATTGCACACCGTCCATTTAATAATTCCTAATTCCCCTTGGGAATTGCGGTTAACTATTTTTAATTTGCATTACGAAATCATATTAGATAGACCATGCGATGCGACGTTCCATCCAGTTTTCCTATCGTCGTGATAAATATTTTACTAGCGAGTCATTCATTTATTCGGTTTACGTGGAATGTTTAAAAGTCGAATCCGGCAGTAGCGCTTTCAATTGTGTACAGTAGGTGCAATTCGGTACCGAAAATAGTAGTACAAATAAATGAATAGGCAATGTGCTCGGTAAGCGTGATTATTTCATCATGAGCTTCTAAATGAACGGCTTCATACGTTATTCTAAAATATGAAACTGTGATTCTAATGAATCAAAGTTTATATGGTTTTTCAGATTCTAAACAAACTCGGAGAGTAATACGAACAAGTCTGTTTGAGTCACATTGTCGAACGTTCTGTAACAAGCGGGGAATCTCGTATATTGTTCTCGTTCCGAGGAAAGTGATTTCTCTACGTAACGAGCAATAGTTGCTCTTTTTTCTTCTGAACGAGGTTCGCTCGACAAGCACGGTTTGCGTAACGAGATTGATTTTCAAAATAGTACCAACGCTGCGTACAACGAGACCAGAGTTTCCGGGGAGAAACACAGCTCTACGTTCCAGGGTAACGATCGATCGATTTGCGAAACGGTTCGATCGTAGAGATCGGGAGAAACTGTTGTTAGTGTAATCGTGTTAAATCGCTGATCCGTGTATCGTCGCCGTCGATAGTACGGAAGGGAGAGGCCACGCGGTACCGACGAGACCGTTTGCGTGGCGAACGGTCCCATGTACTTTTCAGCTTTCACACACACGTGTCGATGTGTCGATACATAATCGCCGTTCACCGATGCGAGACATACTGCTCTTAAAAACCGAGAAACGAACGAACAATAGGTAGATCACGCACGGAGTTTCACGAAGTGTATGTATTCGAAATACACGTAAGAAATATTGAGGCACGTTCGCTTGATACATGCATCTGAGTTCTGCCGGAGAAAGGGAAGCAAAATCGGGGATTGTACTTATTAACGCATGCGGCGAAACTAAATACACATACTAAATATACGCTCCCGGTGTATAACGGTTACGAAACGTCAAGCAGAGTCTGTCGAGTAAATACTGGGTCACTCGGAGAGCAATTCTGTTTCACGCGTCCGTCCTAAAACGAGCGGTCTCAGGCGAGAGAGGTGGCATTGCTTTGCGATAAATGGTATCGACAATCAAATGTCCACGTGTCAGAGCGATCGCTCGACCGATACCTCGACTCGTTCGATGCAATAATAAATAATTGCATCGTTCCTCTTACGTAGCTTAGAAAGTTATCGTAGAACAGAAGGCAGGAGAGCCCGGGTGAAGGGGGTACACGTTCCTACTATAATTTTCCTGCGGTGATTTTCGATCAAATACCAGGAAATAACAAAAACGGATAAACGATACTTTCTAACCCGCGGCGAAATCAAACGAGCCTGTAATCATTCTTTTTAAAACGGTTCGCGTGAATTTCTTATCGCGTAAGGAGAACCGCGTTCGCTACGATTCCCAGGGTGATCGAGAAGATCGGCGACGATGGGATCTGCTTGGTCTTTGTATACGATGAGCAAACATGAAACTGGTAGATGGAAATATCGACGAAAGTCCGGTCTGGCGTGTGCTGCGCAAATGCTCTCCCGCCTCTCGGAATATTACTCGGTTACCCAAGGTTGCCGTTCGTTCTGCTCACGACCCGAGAGCATTATGCACGCGTATAGATGTATCAGCCACGCGCTCATAACTTAACTAAGTGTGCACCTATACGCGCGTAGTAAATCTGTCTACCCTGCGTACACAATGATATACGTGCATACTTAGGACAACGTTTCCCAACAGTTTCCTCTATCCTGTTAAATCGATTAATCGCGGCACGTGTCTGCAATTATCAATCGCCGTTTCGACGATAAAACGGAATGACCGAAGGTTACTCAATTTAGCGACTGATATAATAAAGCTAAAGTTAATCGTAGATGCTCGATGCCTGCTTGAACATCGACGGTCTAGACATTCAGCAAGTATTAATTAAGGATGTATTGGCTATACAGTCAATCCCAAAAGTTTATGCACTTTACAAACGCATTTTTTAAAATAAAATCAGACGTCGGAAGACCATTGCTAATAATAAACAACAACAACAAATTTTCGATTTTTCCGAGATTTTTCCAAGGGGTATCCCTTCAATTTCTTCCAAATTTTCGTTTTTTGCCAATAACTTCCAAACCGTTGGATATATGGGAAAATTGTATAGGACTTTTCTTGTAGAGGACGACGAGATCTACAATTTCTGTATAAAAGTTTCTTGCTAGCGCCAATAGTTAACGAGTTATTTGCAAAAAAACTGTTTTTTCGTTTTTCGTTAATAACTCGTAAACTATTGAAGCTAGCAAAAAACTTTTATACAGGAATTGTAGATCTCATCGTTCTCTACAAGAAAGGTCCTATGCAATTTTCCCGTATCTCCAAGGGTTTAGGAGTTATTGAGGAAAAACGAAATTTTTTCCAAAAGTTTGCCGTTTCGACGCTGGGATGGTCGAATTTTGCCAACATCAATAAAATGCCAAATAATCATACGTAACTCGTTAAATATCGAAGTTAGAAGGACAAGTTAGTGAAGTATGCTCTTTTCATGCAAATGAATTTTGGAACAGTTTTCTTAATGACAATCCGTAACCTATTAGTCTTGAATTTTTTAATTTTGTATTCCTTTTAACTTTTTACTATTTTTTTTTAATACCTTGAGTTTTTGACCGTGGCATTGACGACCGAGTAGATGAAACGATCGATTTGAGATTGAAATATCGAACGTCTGATGAACCATCTGCTAGATCTAGAAGTTCCTAACTGGATCGGTTTCCTCCCGATCGTACAGTTGATCTCATGAACAGTTCGCACGTAAAATCATCGGCCGAGGAGAAAGTAAGCGCATGCATAGTGTTCGCGCTTACCATTGTTATTCCGTTCCGATATTAGATCGGTTAACAAACATCGCAACCACGTGACGTAACCGAACATTGTATAACTTTCGTCGAGGACCGTTCTTCCCACTGCTATCTCGAGCTTATCAACGTTTACATACGCTTTTAACATTTTCCAGACTTCCAGATGAATTACTCCCGTCCTACGTTTCCGTCGACCCGGAAAGGAACCACCGTCCCTCGTCCGCTATCCGTTCACTAATTTCACCACCAGTGATGGCGAGTCGAGATCCACCGAGAATTCGCTTTTAAAACCTGCCCACTTGAACATATTCAAGATTTTCTCTTACCGCGTTCACAAGTTTTAAACTGATCGGTAATTATTAAACCTAAATGAAATCCGATAGCCAATGTACCCAACCGATGGCTTATCCAACGGTTAAGGTTGTATATAGCCATAAGATTTCTGTCAAAAGTTTAAAACATATAATAAAATGCATTGCATCTATGTTTTTTGAATTTTTATATATTGAAATAAAAATTCTGTCATTCGGCATAAGAATTCAAGATGCAATAATTTTTTTAATAGGCCCGCAAAACTTGTAAAATTTTGTACAGTGTTTTATTCAAAGTTTTTATTTAAGAGTTCATACAACCTTAATTGAAAGTAAGATGTACTGCGAGCAATTTTTATTTAATCTCCTATCCACGTATCAATTTATAATACGTTCTAATAACAGGGAATTCATTCGACTCGGTTTTGCATATGTTAATTGATGGACGTCATTATAACTGATGATTGAGCTGATACAGGCAATTATACTCGAGCCTCTTCGTTTGTTTCCTTCCAAATCTATTAATCGAGTCGACTGGCCGAGATTGAGAAACTCGTCGGATCGATTTTGAAGCGGCTCGAGCACGTCGCTAGTCTGGCTTACTATGCAGTAACACGGCACGGCGATTCTAGCGGGCTTCTCGATGCCAGACCCGTACCGGAGAAAGTTAATTTCGCATGGCCGTTGAACCGATATTGCGATTACGTAGGGGAACCCGAGGAGTATAATGCAACAATGACTATTATGTCGGTTCATTGCCGAGCGGATCGCGCGGACCTTTGTCTCCCCGTCCGATTTTCCACGGGGATGAAACCGTCGCGTTTCATACCCTTCCGCCGCAACCTGGTCAACGATGATCTTTTTTTATCGAGTGCGTTCGCCAGCTAAACGTTGTAGGATTGCCGTTGGAAAACTGCGCGTACGCTTCTATTGTACCATCGTTGCGTATATTCAATTTAGCTGATAAAGACTCATTGAAATTATTCTATTTGAACTCGAGCGTCCCTAAACATTATTTTATTAAAACAACTCATGATTTATCGTATGATTTCTTATTCGATTTATGATGCAATGGTGATGCGACGGAAAGGTGCGATACGAGACGCATGAAACGCGACTGAAAATGTTACATGTAAAATAGGAAGAACGCGGACTGGCTCGTCTCCAAGCGAGCCTCCCATAGACGCGTCTTTCTTTCGGCCGGTACGTGGAACCTTCGCCAAATTCACGCAACGTTTTTTCCTCCTACCGTCCCTCGTGCTCGCGATATTCTGTAATCGTCCTCGTCGCGGTTCATTGCACCCGTGTATACGCTTTTAATTCCTTTTTCCCCCGGACTTTTCCAATGAGAACTGCCGCATTCCATTCTTGCCTCCACGCTATCGCGTGACGCGTTAACTAATTGATTTGACATTAGGACAGTACGTATCTCGACGGAGCTTTCCGAGGGGCAATCGTAGTCTGTACTTGATGAAAGCCGTGTGTTTGGTAAAAGTCTGAGCAGATTAGATACCGGATGAACTCTCGCGTCATTCAACTCGCCACTGCGCGTTAATAGAGTATAAAATTGATAGACACGATGAGAACGAGTACGTCGTATCGAGGACGATCGTTCGGGCAAGCGGGAATAAGAGTAAATAGAGAATTCGCGTGGGCGAAGCTCATTCGGTCGCGGGTTCATTTCCCAGTGATGACAAGGGAACCAGTACCGGTTTTCCGTCGTGCGAAAAGAGAATGCTGCGACCTTAGCGGATATGGTCAGACCAGATATCCCTGTGTCTGACGCCGGCCTCGACTATCCACTGGTTTTTTTCCTATCCACGGCTGCTCCTTAACTTTCTTTCTTCCCTTTTTCCCTTCTTCCTTTTCTGGATGACAAAAGCCGTCTTATCCTCGCCCGGTTGATTCCTCTTTGTCTCCTCTTTAGAAGTTAGCTCGATAATGTTAATTGTTGACGTTTAATAATTAATAATTAGTATTTGATAATGAGAAATATAAAAATTTGATCGATTCATTGATGGATGTGTCATATTTGTCGAAATGTAGGGTAATAAAATAGCTTAAGGGTATCGATGGACGGTTTCAGAATGCAGTAAGTATGCCGTCGTTGCTGGAAGCGCTGGAGCTGAAGTACGGCGGTTCAACGACCGACTGCTCCCTCACGGACGAGGAGACAGAGACGAGCTCGCCGAAGGCCGCCCTCTCGGTCAGCATTTTCATACCGAAGAAATCACCCCGTCATACGGTACCCGCGCTGCTCGTGCTGCAGGACTGCGACATCGAGTCGGCCGGCAACGATGCCGAGAAACTCCGTAATAAATGCAAGAACGTCGAGGAGCTCGACCTCGCGCAGAATAAGCTGTCTCAATGGGCCGAGGTTTTCGGTATACTCCAACACATGCCGAAGATCAAGTTCGTGAACCTCAGCTTCAATTGTCTGGCCGAGGTGCTCGAAGTGAAACACGGTAGTTACGATCTGCTGAAGAATTTAGTACTGAACGGTACCAGAGTCACTTGGTCGACGGTACAAGGCCTGATACGTCTGCTCCGTAACTTGGAAGAGCTTCATCTGTCGTTGAATGAGTACAAAACGGTGGACGTGGATCATCAGAAGCCGGAGAACAGAAACTTATCCGTGAAAAAGCTTCATTTCACTGGGAACCCCGTCGAGGTGTGGAACGAGATCTCGAAGCTCGGTTACATGTTCCCGAATCTGGAGAGCCTCGTGTTAGCCGAGTGCCCGATAAGGTCGTTGGGCCTCGAGGACAACAGGAACTCGAACGAGACGGAAACCTGCCCGAAGACGACGGAGTCGGAGGATCACGTGAGCCAAGACAATGCGAACATGAACAATCTGGATGCCGAGGAGAACACGTCGGTCGATGAAAAAGGGAACAGAATATTCGCCGAGGGAAAGGTGAATTACGACAGGTCGGAGTCCGAGTCTGAGTCTAGCGGCACGACCATTAGGTCCTCCCACGATCCTTTCAGAAAACTTAGGTTCCTGAACGTGAACGGTACCCTCTTGTCCACATGGGACGACATCGAGAGACTGGCCAGGTTTCCAGCGCTGAAATCTCTCAGGATTCAGGGATGCCCTCTTTTCGAGGTAAACTTTCTGTTGCCTTAAAACGTTCGCTACGTTGAAACTCAAGACCGATCGAAGGAAACGAATGAAGAATCAGTGAGAACGCGAAACTGTTACGACAGCTTGATCTAGTATGCGCCACTTCGGTCTAGTTGGTTTTAGCTGTACCGAAGTAAATGCTGGCACTGAGTCAACCGGTCTGAACGGGCATAACATTAAAAACAAGATTCCTTCGTTCGCTAGACGATTTGCAATGCTGTAATTTTCAAAAAGGAAATCGTAGAACGATTGTCCGTTATAATCTGTTCAAGTTTTATTTCTCATCCCGTATCCATTATAATGAAAATAAAATCTAGGGAACGGCATTTCGATCATAATAGAGATTCGAATAATCACAGAGTCCTCGAGAGTATACGGAACACGAGAGGCGACAACTTTTAATCGCCCGACTGCCAAACGTCGAGACGTTGAACGGCGGTGGAGTGATATCCTCCCAGGAACGCGAGGACGCCGAGAGAGCCTTTATAAGATACTACATGGACAAACCGGAAGCAGACAGACCCGAAAGGTGAACAGTTTCTCACGATGACGCGACACTTCTTCTAGTTTTGTTTTCGTTCCTCGCTTCCCGTTTTTCCTTTTCTATTCTCTTCCTTCGATTTTTTATTTTCTGCGTTTCACAGTGCATAATCTTCGATCCGCTTCAATATTTATTATTCAATTCCTGTTTCCATCTTCGGTACCCGTTCCCTTTTCATCATCACTATTCTGGTTTGAACTAGAACCCATAAAGCTATTCTGGTTTCATGGTCATCGTTGTCGCCAGTGGAACGAACCTCCGCTTGACCCTGTTCCGTCTCCGTTTTCAGGTACTCCGAGCTGGTGGCTATTCACGGAAAGCTGGATCCTCTGGTACACGTCGATCTGACTCCCGAGAAGAGGGTCAAGGTGACGTTCACTTACGGGGACCTGATCGAGGTAAATTTATATCTCTCATCGACGAATTGCACGAATAATTAAATTCCGAAATATCCGGTCTCTCCAGTTTCATATCGTCCAGTTGTTCAGTAAGACGGACGAAATACAAAGAGGTGTCGCAAAATCGTGTGACTCCTACCGCGATCACACATACATATTTATATGTACGCATGTCGATGCTTGTAGGTGCGATCCATAGACGTGTACAGAACAGTTTTCGAGTTGAAAACCAAACTGGAAACAATGGTGAAAATCCCGGCGAACAGGATGAGACTATTTTACGTGGATCAGGTCAGCAGCCCTGTCAACTATCTTTGTTATCACGTCTTCTCTCTTATTTCCAGAACGTTTGGTTCCTCGAAAGACCTCATAAAAACGAAGAAATTATGACTTAAGGTTCCTCTCCCTTGTCCCGTGTCCCGACTCGCGAATGTCCCATTAAATTTCCATGTAACTACGGAGACGTAAATTAACATGCATCCGCGCATCCGCGATCCTTTGTCTCATCATCGATCTTCGCCCGTGTTCAAGGTGATGAAGGCGCAGTACGGACCAGAGGAGATGCTGTACCCGAACAAGCAGCTCTATCGGTACAACATCCGGAACGGCGACGAGATTATAATCGACAGCAAGCTGAATCGTTGCGCGTCGACGTCTTCGACCACGTCTTCCATTCGTTCCTGAAGGCGGTTCTTCAGCGAATCGTCGGACGATGCGAAACCTACCTGACGATAGTTGGGATCTGATCTCCATTTACGGGTCTAGAGATCAAGCTCTGATCTCGATCGTAGATCGGCCACGGAAGGAGACGTCCGGGATTTTCTTTTTTACATATAAAAACCGACTAAAATTGTTCTAGCGGTTATTTGTATCGATTCTTCGAGACGATGGACGGCGTAAAAGAGCATGATAGGAACTGGAGGATCGGTCGCGTTTACGCTTGATCAACGAATTTCGGATTTTTACTATACGTCGACGCTAAACGTTTCTTAAAAAATGGAAAATTCTCCCGCGAATCACATGCATACGAATACGACACTGTGTTTTTACGAGAAATTTCAATGGACGCGATGAGAATATGTTTCGCGACTCTTCGTCCGAGCTTCGCGTTAATAATTAGTGTAGATCGCAGACAAGTCGGAGAAGAGCGTGAAGATGACGTAAAGTACTTAGTTAAATAATATCCAATTTACAAGATTGTTTTTCAAGTAGTGAACGTTGCCTGTCGCTTCGGAACGTGGAAATTTATATCTTATTAGCGGCCCGATCGTAACATTTGACTGAGAAATCTGTAAACGAGGGAAAATCGTAATCGTACAGCTAAATATCGTATATTACGTAGAGGAAACAAAATTGGTGCGTTCGTTTACACGCAAAACACAATCTAAGAGGACGTTTACGTTTCATATGTTAACGTTTCGTAATGATAAGAGGACTCGACGAAGAGTAAAGACGATGGAGATACAAAAATTCCGTGACTGCAAAAGAGAATATAAACTATTTTTGTAGAACGCAGTTAGGGACAAATCATGGGGCAATGATAAAAATATACGGTATACGTACACTGTTACGTTTTGACTAATGAGAAAGTTCTTTAATCCGTGCAAAATAAGTGTAATACGTGGTTTTACGTAGCTTTTAGAAAATCGAGACGATTGTTTTTATATTTTTAAGCTTTATTGTCCAGTATAAAGAGACGAGCATTCATACTGTTCATTTCGTTTTAGAGAGACATTTTAAACATAAAACGATTCACGTTATATTTTTATGCATTTTTAATGTGTACTTAAGCTTCGCAGATATCGGTACGCGATACCGATCAATTAAGCGTCACTAACAACTGTAATATACGTCTCTAACTCTCGATACCATTTTAGTTGATAATTTACGATCGTCTTTCAGTGTATCTATTATTGCGTGGAACTTAAAGAAAGGAATACGAAGAGGTCGGTTGATACTCGCGTACAAGCGTACGTTGAAACAGTTTAGGTAAAAAAGGGAGAACGTGTTTCGACTTATTCCGCTTGCAGAGGAAGGACCTTGAAGAGTCAGTGGCTGCCTTTTATTAGCGTAACTCGAATACTTCTAACACTGCCCTTGTAAATACCATAAACGCGTATAACCGAATTCGTAGACTCTTCACGGTTGTGCGTTGACCCGTTTGTGTTCCGCTGCGATTCCGGCATTGGATGTTCCATTTAGAATTAAACGAAAATAAGCCGACGTGAGAGAGGCGAGGAATTTGTGAAGTAAAACAGAAACGGAAAAGCAAAGGTGCACGAATTGGGAACGGTCGGTCGACGCGTTTCTGAATAATCGAACCCGGCAACGCGAACGTTCTTTGATGTTGGATCTCAAGGTCGTCGACGATTTCACGGTGGCCGCGGCCACGTGTCCTCGTTTGATCGATGAACACGGCGAGAAACGTCCCTGAGAATCCATACCCTACATGTGTCTAGTCTCGGAAAAGGAAACAGCATTGTTCTCGTTTTATATAATACGATCCTTTTTTGTGCTGGCGCAAATGTGTACGTACTAACGAAATAAAAACCTTTATATGAGACGACCCGCGTTTCTCTACACGACGTCTGTTATTGTGAAACTGTCGAACAGAGTTTAGGAGGGTCTCGCACGATCGTTATCAACGGTTGAAAACGATTGCATTCACCGACCAATAAATTTGCTTGTCCCAGGAGATCAGCGTATAGGTCAAAGGTTGCTTTTAACGATCGAAAGTTCAATCGGCGGAGAAGAAATTTCGGTGAAGTCGTGGTAAACTATCTCACAGCGGAAGGAAGAAAGTTACGATCAGTAAATAAAAAAAAGTGTTTATAAAAATTATTTTTTTAACGATTGTATAATTCAATACATTCGTCTCGGATTGGTAAAACGAGAAAAGATCGCAGATACATCGATCGCGAGAGATACGTGGGATGTGGGTTCGGCAATTTAGAGGAATTGCAAAAAGAAGTATCGAATAACAAGTTTCTATCGTTCAATGAAAAGTAGAAATATAATACAGTTGCGAGCAGGGAGATTGATGATAAAATTATCGATTTGCAATGAACGGTTGAAACTTCCCAGGGGTTTCAACGGGGACCGCGACAGCCCTGTTTCTAGCCGAGCGTACTATTCTCAGATAGCGTCGATGCAGAGGTGGATACACAAACTCGGGTACCCAGTAAGCTCGTTAACTCCAAGAGCTTCCTCCGGGACAATTTTGTGTATATTATCGATAGACTGCGAACTTTCGATAAATTCATACTTTTATAAAAAACCTTGGACCCTACAAAAAAATTGAATTTTCCCATATTAAGCTCAGCTGTATTCCTGCACATTCGATGTCTAGTTATTAGCAGTTATTAGTAAACGTCTAACGTTACGTTAAGGTTGTATGAACCATAAAATCTCTGCTAAAAGTTTACATGTAATAAAAACCTGTGTTCTGGAAAATTTCTCAGATGTTGTACATCTGTGTACATACAGTGTTGTACATACAGTGTTTTATTAAGGTAGTATCTAGTAGCTGTTAAAATATCAATGCATTGTCATTGCTTTTATGAAAGGATTTATACAACCTTGAGAAGTGTTAGAGGAGAACAGTAGGAGAGTGGAATATTTACCCAGTTTCCAATTGTAACAGAAGGGAAACCTACGTACATTAAGTACTGCCTTGCATATTAATATTATACTCGAATCCAGACGCATTTTAATTACTCCTATGTGGGACGAATAATAATCGCACGAGCATCCTTTGAATCGTTGCAGACTGAGAGAAATAAGCGAGGCGAGGAAACCGGGACCGTGGCTCAATTCCATTTCCCAAAGGTCCTTTGTTACTTTTCTATCAATTTCAGATCTAGCCCACTTCCGGGATCGATCGGCGGCAGACGACCCGTGATGCTCGTCGCGACCGGGGGCGAAACAATTAAAACAGCGTTGCGAAAATTCTGTTCAATTACACGGTACATGATCCGAACCGGAATAATGGAGCGGCACGAAGTGACAGCTCGTTACGAGGTCCCACCTTTTTCCTTTTACCTTTGAAACTTCACGACCGAGTGGGATCGTGACTAATCCTACCCTGGGGGAGTGAGCGCCCCTACTGTGCACTAAATCCACAGAGGAGACTGCATCGATTCCGGTGCCCCGTCTATTCCCACCCCCTGTCCTCGCCATCGTCGCTCTTCTTCCTTCCTTGCGAGCTTTTTCTTCATACTTTTTACTACCTCTTCTATCAACGAATCGACGTTACCTCGTTTTCAATGCTCTACTTCATTTAAAACGTCGAATCAAGGAAGGGAAGAGACCTCAGAAGAGTAAATCTGAAATTGAAACACTGTCGCATTATTCTAATCGAAGATGATACAAAAATTAGCAGCAATGGAAGAAGTTGAGCTCTGGAAGGGATGACGTTCTTAAGGGAGGAACAAGGAATCGAAACAGCGAGGGGGTTGAAATTTGTAAACTGCCGGTCGAAGATGTGGAAGCTGTTCGGCTCGTGGCACCAGGGGGAAGGCGGTGCAGCCCTGACGGGTAGAGGGTGGCTGGTAAGGGCAGAAGGCGAGGAGAGCGTGTGCGCGGTGGATGGAGTTGCGACTGCGAGCATGAGTAGGACGCGGGTCGTCGTGTGTCGCTGCAGAGGGCCGAGAGAGCGTGTCTCCTGCGGAACACAGCTGCGTGCACGGACCGTCAAGATGTAAGCCGTCAGGGCAGAGAACGCGTGTGTGACGGTGTACGCCGCTGGCCCAGGCCGAGAGACCGCGCGTTACGAGGAAGAAAACGAAGAAGAAAAAGAAGTGGAGAAAGAGAGACAGAGAGAGACAGAGACGTCAAACGAGCCGATCCGGGAGGATGGAGTAGAGCGGGAACCAGGGGATCGATTGCTTCCCGATTGTTGGCATGGAGGACACGACACTGGGGTAAGTGGTATAAGACAGAGCGGGGTTAAGCCGGAGCTGGTCTCCGGTTAAAGGGATGCATTCCGTTCTCGTTCGGCCACCAGTTTTATATACGCTTTCGCGTTCGTGGCTCTCGCGCCGTGTGTCCGTAAGTGGTGCACGCCAGGATTCGACGATCGATGCGACCAGCCACGGATCCCACCGATCTATCTTTCCGTGGTTGGCGTCCGCTGGTTTCGACGTCGAGCCGACGATTCGTCGTCCGTACCATCACAACGCGACGGGTCCACCCCCTCAGCAACGCTCGAACCATTGGGACATCCTTTGCACGACCATTGACCGATCGTTGCTCACCCATTGCTTCTCCCTCGTCACTCTTTTTCTTAATCAAACGAAGGAAAACGGGGGTAGACAGACACCGCGATAAACGCGGTCGCTGTTAAACAGTAGCCGTGGCGGTGGTTCTCCTTGGAGCGTAAAAAAGTTGTTAGCAGCTATTTACCCAAGGGCTCTAACCGACCCTTACGGTTTTCGAGATCGCTGCTGCATCGCGAAAGGGTCGGATGAGCCTCTGGTTCTCCTCCTCCTCTTTGCCTCGAAATTCCATCCGTGTAGCTTCTTTCGACCGAGAGAGTCTAGAGGCTTCGCCTCGCCGATCACCGTCGTTCTCTTTTTATCTGGATCACGAAGAGCCACCCCGCCGCCCTTCTCTTCCTCGTTCCTGCACGTTTTTTAGCAACGGGCGATACACCGGGAGTCGAGGAATTGTCCGCCTCGGCCGTGTTCGTTCCCTTTCAACGGAACGAGAGCGTTCTCGTTAGCGGCCCGGCACTCTCGTCCCCCCCCCCCCTCCGATCCTCGAAATCGCTAGCCATTCACGGAAACGAGGGTCGCAAAACGAGCCCGTTCGACGCGTTTCCTGAAAGCATGCTCACCCTCGCCTTCGCTCCCTATGGTCGATGCCATCGGGTGGCACACCATCGAAGTACGTCAATGGGTTAAGGAGAATCTTAAAGCGACTCGTTTGCCCTGGGGAAACGGCCTCGAGGATTTCTCGACCAGGCCAGGATTCAATGCGATTGAAAGGGAAATGTTCGCGGAGTGGCGCGCCTGGCTTCGCTGGTGATACGCGGCCAGTGCACGCAAAGGCGAGAATGGGGATTTGCATGAGAAAACGAGCTCCGGAGTCAAAGGAGAGGCGGTCGTTTATTTAACTTGACGCGGCGCGACGACTCGACGACAGGTCACGGGAACGGATGACACCGACCGATCTCGCGACGACGGGACGACCTCTCCTTCGGCGGACCGTCAAAGAAGATGAGAGGCCACCTGTCCGTGTTACTGGGTGCGGCGGCTACGATATTAATAGGCGTCGATTCGTAAAAGGGGCTGCGACCGCCCCGTTGAATTCGATTAATCAACGCTGATTGATCGCACGCTGGCTCGCTTCAGAATGAGAAAAGGCAAGAACGGAAGCGGAGGAGTTCCAGTTTCGAGAACCAGGCCATGTTTTCCCGTTCGATAAATATCTACGTTTCCACGAACTGGGTCTCAAGATGTTTAAATGAACGTACGGAGATTTTTCTATACCTTTATGATAATGCGAGAGTCCATCGTTCGATGCTAGACCGAAGATTTTGTTCAATTATAAGAGTACTGAATCTGCAGAAATGATCAATGCCGCATGTAATCTGTAAGACGATTCAGAATATCGAATTCAATATTAAAATGACCAAATAAATGTCTCGAACAAATTATTTAAACCGATACCAAAAGAGTGTATCTATTCGAGATGATCTCCTCGTAAAATTCAGTTCCTTAAATGGTGAAAGAAAAAGCTAGGCCGAGAATACTTTCCCTTTCACGAGCGAATTCTTTCGACCGTGACAGGTCACGAGGGCCGAATGAAATCTCAATGAGATTCGTCTCACTTTATTCGAATACCTCGGCCACTGCCAATCCCACGAAGAATGATCGGATCGCCTCCAATAACGATTAGACTACTTGTAAGCGTTCCAACAATTTTTGTTGGAAGGGAAATTCAAATTCCCAGCGGGACGCCTCGCTGATAACGAGAATCCTCTCGATTTGCCTAAAAGATCAGTCCACGAAGGCTACCAAATGATTTTTACTGATAGACACGTGTCTGAGCTGGATCAAGGATATCACAGTTTACCTATTCGTCCAGCAGCGCTCCAATTCAAACACTGTAAGAACGTAAGATTTGATTTAATACGATCCATATTACATGAGTTGCTCATTCTTTATAAGTGACAACCAAGGAGTAATTCATGCACGAGATTTTTAAAAAAAGAAAATTCTATACACCTTGCATAAACAAGCTGTTCGTCACGGAAGCCTATCTGAAAGAAAAATCACGACGCGCCACGAGGTGGGAGATAAAACGCTATACGTGCCTATCGTCAAAAAGTGCAGCCGCGTAATTTGCAACGAGGCGACGACGCGACGCACGGGACGACGGCGTATGACTAATCAAAAGAGGCGAGCGTCGAAGAAGGTGGAATTACGTCAAACGCGAGTCGCGGCGTGTCCGTCGATTCACCGTCGCCGTGCGTCGAACACGAGTTCGTCGTCGGGGGACCGCCGAGATTCACGTGTCATCTCCTTGCATCCGTGTCGCGTCCGCCTGTTTCCAGTGTCGTTCGACGTGGAGGATGAACAAAAGGACTCGTTCGTCGATCATCGATCATCCGTGAAACAGATTCCGGTGACGGTTGACTGCGTGCCTCGCCGTTTTTCCATCCGGGGAGATCCTCCTCGGTTGTTCGTTACGATCGTAAGTAAGCGTTTGTACTCTTCGTTCGCTCATCGTTACGCTGAATAGGCCTTCTGTCAAATTGAAACTGTGATAAAAGGTCAATGACGAAACATGCTCTCGACTGAGCGTAAGAAATAGGACAAGTGTGCGGGATTTAATTGGCGCGGAAGATCGTACCGAAAAACGGGCTCCTGTTAAACGATCAGCTGTTCACCTGTCCCGTTTTTCCGGCGCTTCGCGCGATTCACGTCCATCGACCCGATAATTAATTTCGCCCGTGTCACCATTGCATCCGACGGGAAGGGATCGATCGCCAGGATCGTCGTTTATTCTTCCTCTTTTTGTGGTCTTCTATTTGGAACGTGGAACAAGGCGTATCGAAACAGCGCCATAAAATCGATTCCCCCAAAGCGTGCGGAAAAATATCTGGATGGGATCGGAATTTTGAAAGCCGTCCGAGCGGGAGGACGTTTATAAATAAACGGAACGCGCCGATTTGTTGCTGCGCAATCGTCTTGTTCTCGTTCACGTTGAAACCCGGAAAATTCTCTGTACCGCTCGCAAAGTTTTCATCCACGAACCGGACGTTCTCTCTCAAATTGCAAATTGGAAATCGTGCAATTTCGTTTACTGCGCAATGTGTTTAGTCTGTCAGCCTTTATCGATAATATCACAAGTTTTACGATGATTAATTGAAATCGGATAGAATCCTATTTCATTTATCATATAAAGTAATAAACGTATGAAACGAAGTTTGCCATTCCCACGGCATGACGTCGAATCGGAACAATAATAATACGAGAGTTGTGAGTGCTTTTAAAAAACGAGGAAATAGCATGGGCGACGCGGGGAACGTCACCAGGGAAATATGCAGGAACATACATACGCGTACCGTGACGAATCAAGTCCGGGGGTAGATCGCGATAAGATGATACTAATATATATCGTCCTGCTTCGCAACGACACGTTTCGTCCGATCATCCAGCTATACGTATCGACACGAGAGTCCAGCTATGCGTATCGTTTCGCTCTGCCTGTTCTTCTCGCTAGGATACGTATGCCTACATTTACGCTTCACGATTGGGAAGGCAAAGTTCTTCACTTTAACTGCCAACGCGAGTGATCAACTCTACGAGCATCGTGTCCAAAATGCATCTACGATCATAGCAAGAATACAACTCCATTTTTGACAATCCCTTGGTTACGACATGTATGAAGAGTTCTATATCGTTTGATGTATGATGTAATTCGATAGATTTATAAAAAATTTTGTACCTGCAGGCGAATGCTCCAAGTTAAAAAAAATTCGATGAAAATGCAAATAAAGACTAACCTTTCATCTCAATAATCACTTATTATAATTAGTACTTGTACCTTTTAACCTACCTCTAAGACTAAATCTCCTTCTTTCTCTCTTTCTCACACCACAATAATCACTTATTATAATTAGTGCACTTGTTCCCATAATTTTATGATCTACACGAAGTCGATAGAAACGAAGCTGACTTTCTTGCCAATGTCGTCTATTACATATTCACGTTTCGACGCTGAGTAGTTATTAAAAAATCTGGTCCGATCGTAAACCGCTTATTCTACTTAGGTTTAGACAGACGAACTCACCGCCGAATTGACAAAGTAGCTAGCCTTCCCGTTGGACGATCCTCTTGAATGTTTGAATGCGCTATTAACGATCGGTTGGGGGTTGAAATCAGAGAATCCACTTCTGGAATGCGTTCGAAAAGGGAACACCGGTGTAACAACCGGTGGAGAAGGAAAATCGATGCTCTTTAGAACGGAGCCCAAGTACCTACACTATAGGTTAAACGAGCTATCAAATATCGTACGATTTTCTAATTGATTATCAATTTTTATGGGAAATAAAACATTTTCGGTATCAGCCGAGTTCAACATAATTGTAACTATAAAACGTATAATAGTCAGAATTTCGTAAAGAAAAGATTGAAAGGCGTTTAAACATTTTACCTATCTTTGGAAATTCGATGTCGGTTTAGACAGATGCAATCCCTTGGCCCAAAGGTGAGAAAGCTTAATGGGCGTCGGAAACGGTTAGGCGCGGTGGGACGCGGCGTCGTTTCATTATTCATTGTGGTCGTTCGTTTGGCCGGGCGGAATGATTATCGGGTATCGGTGGTAGCCGCCGGACTCTGCTTCTTTCCACTTTATAAAAAAAGAAATCTCGTGTATCTGGCGTGTGTCTATCCGACACGTACGCGAGCGTCGATGTAACCGCTAACAAGGCTCGTCTATTTATAGGCGACGTTGTGCCGCCGCATCGGAATCCGCTGCAATGTTTTCCGATTTTCTCCGGTGGAACGAGAACGAGAGTCTCTGCTCCTCCCTGCATCTGGAGCCGTGTCCTCCGCTTAATTGAAAGATGATTAATCAGACGAAATTAAGGACGAATAGAGTAACCGCGAGATTTCCAGCAATATAGCAAATGTCCCAGTTTCTGTTCGCGTCACAATTTCTACTCACAATCTCGAGCCAGTGTGTAGAAATTGCAACGTGAAATTAGAACATTTACTTACTATGTTTCAGTGTTTCTTTTTTTCAAAGGATCCTCGGACTCGTCGAACTGTCGGAAGATCCTCTCTGAAAGCAGACATTGTGTCTGAGGATAATACCGAACCAAATCTGAAAGTTAAAAGAGTTTTGAGTATAGTTTCGCGTTGCGCTTGAATTAGTCGCAGTCTCGGTGCAGATCTGTCTGATAGGAGTGAGATATTGCACGGTATAGGGCACAGGGTATAAGCGTTATCAGAGAATGCAGCCCGTATCCTCAGCCGTCTCGACGCCCGTCTGGATGGCTATTAGACCTCTTCCCCGTCTCCTGTCCCGCTCGCTCTCGAATTAAGCCCGATCTTCCTTCGGGAACAGACACTTTTCAGCTATTGGCACTATTCCATGCCTGTGCAGACACGTTAACCAACTTCCGCGCTCCTTTCACGGTCGTTAAACTTGCTACTCGCGACCGATGGAAACTCATGTTTCGACGCTAACCATAGAATATTTTTAACACGTACAACGAGAATAATGCATTTGAAATAAGTACGATAGGGAGGTGGTGTTTCTCGAAATTCCGAGAAAAAAGTTTAAATTTTCCGAGAGTTTTTTCTGCTTACCTGTTGCCGCTGGCGAAAAATATTTGAAACAAAAGTTGTAAGTTAACGCCAGATCGAGCGTTGAAAAGAAGATATAGATTTATTCTTGTTTTTTAATCTCGTCCTCCTAGAGAAATTAATATAAGCCGGAACTAGCCAGGAATCATTATCCCAAATTGTACACTCATTGAGTTAATGTATAAATTGCAAAATGAAGATTATAGAAAAAAACGAATGTGCAGCAGACACAAAGGGGTTCCGGTACGTCTAGCTTAGACAAATGTAACTGAAAAACGGGCGCCGTAGACCGTGAGGTAATCCCTTTGAACGTGGCAAAAAATCCGGGGTCTCCACAAACGTCGAGCTCGGACACGTTTTCGAGCCCCCGATCCCAAAAACGTGAACGCCGTGTCTCCGGAGTCAAGCGGAGCACGAAATTGTTCAGAAGATGAGCACTAGGAGTATACGGGGCATACGAGCCAGACACCGTTACTCGTTTCAGTAGTATAACTCGTAGCTGGTTAGACGGATTCGAAAATTGTTTCGTCCATTCTACTCGCTGCTAAGAACCGTCCTTACGTTCTCATACTCGAGTGTATTCATTAAGTACGTCGAGTATCTATTACAAATTCTCCTTTCGTTTTATTCTCATTCGACTGACTTTGGTATTACCGTCCATTTCGGAGTTGATTAAACGGAATTGATCATCGAATCCCAGCGATTTGGCCTTTCGTATTTACATAATTTGAAACCGATAAATCGGAACGACTTCGTCGAGTCGAATGGAAATACCAAACTTTCCGTTGGAACGAGTTAAACCCATTCGAAATTTCTTCCTCTCGGCTTCCGGCCAAAATACTTGCAACCTTTCAAGCATCAGGACCAGCGATATAGGTATCTGTCGTTCGCCATCCCCTTTGGACCCAGTTCGCCTTTGTTTTTCTTTTCCGCCGAGTTCTCTACGAGAATTGGAAGGGTCAAGATGGATTGATCATTTCCGATCGACGGGACAAAGAAATAAGTCTAGCGGTCGGTTTGAAAGTGGCTCACGTTTGTCGGGGGTTCGTTTAACCAGCCGACGACACGACGCGCCGCGGCGCTTCCTCTCGAGACGGCTGAGCAATTGATTTGCCAGGAGATTGGAGAACGCAAAACAAGACATTCTGAAAGAGATCCCATCGATTCCAGTTCAGTCGACCCGTCACTGACTGTTCAACTTTCATGGTCTCGCCAGTGATACTCGCACCACGTAGCTAATTTTCCAGCCATTCCCTTTCAATTTTCCGCCGGAACGAGTTTACCGGCGATACTGTCCACGAAACTCGGTACCAGCGCCGACTCTGCTGTCTCATTTTTCCCCTGTATTTAACACTGGAATTACAGTTAATTAAAGGCGCGGTATAAAAACATATGCGCCTACCATTAAAGCTAATTAAAGTGTACCGTGCACGGGCGTTATATTTGTATAAAGAATTGATGGAATTCCTGGCATCGTGGACCGGCCGTTCTAATTAGTTCGTTACTTAGCACGCGTTTAGAGCTCGGGACCCTGGAGTCACGATACGTTTCGCGATCATTAGACGCTGTTAAAATATCCCGTGACTCATAGTTAATACAGAGCCCGCCGGTCGGTGGTAGTACTACTACCGTGGCGTGAGCGAGTGAACAGCGTGTGTTTAACACGTTGAAGCACGAGATTCAGTCTGAGCCCCTCGAGACTTCGTTGCTAATTGGCTCAGCATATCAACGACCTTTCTTATATTGCGAGCTTCTTTTTTCCCGTCCCAAGACCCTGCTAACTCGAAACGAAACTACCCTTCAACGGATTAATTCACTCCGAAACGTGGTTTCTCGTCGTTGCTAATTCGTTAATTAATATCGGTGTAGGAAACGGCCCTTTGATCCTGTCTCGTTCGTTCTCTCCTTTCCAACGTATTAAAAAATAGTTATATAATGGCCGATGAGTCGCAGATTTGTATGGAAGATGAAACGTCTTTAGTACAATTAACACCAGATCTGCCAAGAGGGCTTAAAATGATTTGTTTGGCATTTCTTATAATCATTATTCTCATTTTTTGAAAAATTATAGTGATCTAAAATTTGCATGTATTCTTATGGTAATCACTTTTCCCGTAGGTAATTGGAGTGCCTACAACTTCTATTTGAAGCATTCTTCGATATTTTGAGAAAAAAAAATTTTTTATTTTTCCGAGATTTTTCCAAGGGGTACCCCTTCAAATTTTGCGAAATTTTCGTTTTTTGCCAATAACTCCCAAACCGCTTGACTTACGAAAAAATTGTATAAGACCTTTCTTGTAGAGAACGACGAGATCTACAATTTCTGTATAAAAGTTTGTTGCTAGCATTAATAGTTTACGAGTAATTCACGAAAAACTGTTTTTTCGTTTTTCGTCAATAACTCGTAAACTATTAATGTTAGCGAAAAACTTTTACACAGGAATTGTAGATCTCATCGTCCTCTACAAGAAAGGTCCTATGCAATTTTCCCGTATCTCCAAGGGTTTAGGAGTTATTGAGGAAAAACGAAATTTTTTTCCAAAAGTTCGCCGTTTCGACGCTGGGATGGTTGGATTTTGTCAACATCTATAAAATGCCAAATAATCATACTTAACTCATTAAATATCGAAAATAGAAGATAAGTGAACTATTTTTAATAATAGGAAATGCGTTTTTCTAAGGTACATCAACTTTTGGGATTGACTGTATAGCCAATACATCCTTAAATAGTCATATCCTGAACATTGCAATATGCATTCATCTTTGTCATATTGTGTCTATTAGATTTCTTGCATATTCAGTTTCGTTCGAATCGCATAAAACTTGGAATCTAATTGTTATCTTTCATTTAGTCGTCGAAACCGACGATTGAAAACGTTAAAGCGCGAACGTGAGAAGTGAACTTTTTAATCATGTCACTCAGAGCGATAGTCCCACGAATGACACGGATTCGAGTAAAGTTCCTCCCTTTGACAGACGGCCGGTAAACTTCGTCTGACTACCCGCCGTCCTATTTCCAACCGGTGAAAGAAATTACATCCGTTCCAACTGACAAGAGAGACCGGCCCTTTCTCGGCGGTCCGTTAACGAGCATAATCGAATAAATCTTTAACTCTCGCGTAACACGATTCGGTCAATCAAAAGCGTAGTTCCTACACGAATTCACGAGCCCTTCGAAAGGGACAAAGGGAGAGCGCTGGAATAAACGTCACGTACGTTTTATTGCGACTTCGAGGAAAATCCTGTTTGCAGCTTCGGACGGAACGAGCGGGTTGTCCTGATGTTTGCGCTCCGGCAACTTGTTGACGCGTTCGCCTCTTCTCAAAGGGAGATGGTGGTTACCCGCACGGTTTGTCCACGCGGTTCTGTTAGCTTCGCGATTCGTGGCCAGTGTGCTTTCTCTCTTGATAAATCAGAAAGCAAATGCACCGTCGATTGTATTAGAGAGATCTGCAACAGACAGAACTTGACAAATATTACAAATTAAATCGTTAGAAGATATTTCAAATGCTAAATAAAATCAGTCATATAGACGTAATCGTACAAAGAATTATGAGCCAATAAAATCCTGCTTCGTCAACGTTCTCGGAATAATTAGTTTTAGTAAATCAAAGGACGACGTGCACCAGTGGAACGACGGTAGATAGAAGGAGTCTCACCGGAGAAATTCGCCCGCCACTTCGAGTGCGCGCTATAAACTCCGTCCGGAGGTTGTAAAATATCCGACAGACGAGCTTTTACGAGATGCGACCCCGCGGGCGCCGCGTCGGTCGGAACGGGGAAACGAGGTAATAGGGTCGCGGAAAAAATATTTAGAGATCGTTTTGATGGAAAATTGGTGCTCTCGAACACCAGTGACGTAAACGACAAGTGGCCCTCTCCACGTCGGCACGTCCTGCACGTCGCGATGCAACGCGACCGCTCCGGTTAATCGATTCGTCCTTCGCTGAAACGTTCTAACGTCAACACCGATTAGCTTCTTTGACAGCGGCGATTCGCGAGCGGCGCATCATCCGAGAACGGCTTTACATTCGGATAATTGGCAGCCTAAAAATCACGGTAGCGTATTTGTACATATATTGAAACGAGATTGTTAAGGAGTCGTACAGAGATCAATCCTCGTCTTCTTGCTGATTCCTCGTGTCCGAATCGCAGTTTCCTAATAAAATCATATATTTTAGAACGTTGCGAACCGATAAACGAATAGGCAGAGATAAGTTTCATTTTACCCGATTGGTACAGGAATGGTTAAAACGGTGGGACGTTGTTGCAGCATCATCGAGGGCTGAGCTATCGCTAAAATATGGCGTCGGGCATACCGAGCGTTCATCAGAGGAAGCTTGGACCAGCGCCGATAGCGTCCTTCGAAGACCTGTCCGACGAGGTGGAAAACGTGAGTCCTTCCCTGTGTCCTCCCTGAGTCTCCTCTCTAAATCGGCTGCTCTCGTGCGAGGGATCCATCCGGCTCCTCGAGGATCCGTGTCGACTCCCCTTGGAGGATCGCGCCGATCGTTGCCCGCACGCGCTTTGCCCGCTCCGCGCCGCGGTTTCTCCCCGCGCGAACGAAAAAGGCGTGAGGCCTCCGTTTGTCGACACGCTCGCCCGTCCCGCGGGTGTCTCGTTCCGCCACCAACCATCTAGCCACCACTCAATCAACCAACCAACCAACCACTCAACCACTACACCCCAAGTGAACTGTTCAATCGACGACAAAACCAGCCTTACCAAATTTGAATGCAGGGGGAACCGGCTACGCGAATGCCAGGCATCGTCGAGGTCACCACGCCGGCAACGCCTGGTAGCTCGTTAAAGACACCGAGCACGCCGAGAATTGATATCAGCAGGGCGAGTAGTTCCTCGCATCATGAGGACAGTAACTCCAGGGATTCGTCGCCGGAGAGGGAACTCCTCGCAGGTACGCACCGATCTCTACATCTCCTAATCGCCAAATGCACAGGGTTCGATCAAGAAGTTCCAGAAATCAATGAGACGATGTTCCGGTTTCTGAAATTCGATAGAAATAATTAGATTTCAGTCCCGTCAAAGATTTGAGATAGATATCGGAGAACATTTTGATCAAGCTTTGCAAGCACATATTCAAATCGACTTCAGGCGTAATCTTGATCAATCGCGTGGGTCAGTGTACGTCAACCGTAATATCCGAATATCTCCGTTCCTAAAACGCTCGTCAGTAAGTATGTATGTACGTTGTCCCTTGAACGGGCAAACATAATATCGATTCGCGAACGGAGAAAAGTCCGTGGAGGACGATTCCGGACGAGAAGAAGAAGAAGACGACGAAGCGGAGGAAGGTTGGCTACGAGGCCGGGTCGCGATCGATCGGAACGGAACCGCGTGCGTTGTTCACCGATGCGGTGTCTCTAAACGCTCCCCGGGGAGATAACGGCGAGCCCCGTTTCTGCTCGTGTGCCACGAATTAATACGCGCCCTCGAGTCAACTTTATGGAAGCATTCGAGAGGGGAACGACGCGCTCGAAGTTTGTCCTATATTCAAGAGAAGGGCTCGCCTTTGTCACGACCGGCACGTACACACGCGTGAACCGACGGCACGATTTTGTTTTCCTCCAGAAGCCGAATGTTTTGCTGTGACAAGCGATTTCTTTTGTTGTTCGGTACTGAAATAGGAAAACGAGCTATAGTAGTTTAACCATGACTTACTAGAATCCACGAGTAGTCAATTAGAATACAAAAAAGTAGAAATCTGTTAAAAAGTTATTAAACCTTCTTAGGTAGTCTTTGATAGTTGAAGTAATCGTTGAGGTAGTCGTTGAGGTAGTTACGCCGTTAGAACGATTCCGGTTCGTTTCATGGAGAACTGGTGAAAAATATTTGCAGGCGGAGAACCTCCACCTGGATGCAAGCTGACCCTGGGCTATAAAGAGGACGCCCAAGACCTGAGGTCGTCGACGGAGGAGCTCGATCTGCAGGATCCCGTTCACGAGCAGGACCTTAGAAGAGAATCAAAGAAATTAGCCAAGAGAAAAAAAGAAGACGGTTCCTTGTCAGACTACAGCGGGAAACAGCTGGACAGAGAACGGAAAGACAGCAACTGCTCGGAGATCGTCCTGTTGAACATCAGCGGCCGAACGTCTAGATTGTCCTCCGTCGGGAGCCAGGGTTCCGGAGCCTCTGGCAAGCTCTCCGTCGTCTCGGCTACGTCCTCCAGGTAACTTCATCCTCGCCATCGCTGTCCGATATCTAAACCGTCGATTTTCATGTAAAACAAAAAATCAGTTTAGCGTCGACAATTGCCAATTCGGAACTAGAGATTGATACTGTTTCGACAGATCACCGAGTCCGCACAAATGCCTTCTCGAAACGTCGTTTTGCGGGAGCAAGCCGATGCTAGCGGACAACCTGATCGAACCGTCGAAACCGGAGACGGACGATCTGGAGAAGATCCTGTTGAAACGAGAAGCGGACACCACGAAGGCGTTGATTCCGGAGAGTATAAAGGTTTCGATGGTCGACGGGAACTTCAAACCGGACCCGCTGGACAAGCCCAGGAGAAGAGGTCGCGAGGAGAGGAAAGAAATCTTCAAGAGGGAGGTGGAGATCACGAAGAGATTCTTGGAGAAGGTCAACATCGAGGTAAAGAGAGTGGACGGACGAACGGACTGTTTAAATTTGCCTCTCGTGAGCACGAGTGCTAGCGTTTGATTCTCATTTAAGTTGCCGGTGGTGAAGAAGCCGGCGGAGACGCAGAGCGCGACGACGTTGTCGGAACAGTCGGCGACGGGTCAGTCGCAGGAGGTGCAGAAGCCGGCGACTTTGGACTTCAACGACAAGAGGAAAAAAACGCAGAACTTCAAAGAGATCGTGCAAACAACACCGACGACGAGCAGCGCGACTGGTAGCCCCAAGCTACCGAGGCACCAGAAGGTCCGCGACCTGGAGGGCTCCCGCACGCCGAGCCCCTCATCCGTTTCCAGGAAGAGCAGCTTCGCGTCCCTCTTCAAGGTATTGCCCGCTGCTCCACGCGAGTAACTAACTACGCATCTGGTATGCTGCTGAACATACGGTACGCCGTAGTCGCGAGTCACAACGATGTGCCTTGAACGGTCTTCCCACCATGGTATATGAGACGAAACGGTCGATTAAGCGACTGTGTGAACCGCGTCGCTGTGACTCACGAGCACGGGTACGATGTAACACTAGACATGACGCCGCTTCTTCACACACATGCTCCACACGGATTCCTGGCTTTGGCTTTGTAGAAGACCCGCTAGCTTAGTCGAGAGGAATCTCGAACAAAAGACACTGCATGCCCTCTTCTTGACCACCGCGTGTTCAACTTTTAAGGCCCGCACAGACGGCAGTGTGTTGAGCCCAGAGTCACCATCGCCCAGCACGAAACCGCGACGTAGCCTCACATCGAAGATCAGGGACACCACCGAGAGCCTGCGCAGCAGGTCCAAGTCCCGCGAGCGGGTGGTAGTACCCGCGGACAAGGGGTCCGGCAGCTTGAAGAAGGACTCGAAGAACAAGGGCGTGTTCTCGTCGACGTTGAGCCTGTTCAAGAAACGCGAGAGGAAGAAGAGTTACGACGAGGCGATCGCGGCCTCCTGCGGTACCGAGCTCGACGGCCACCCGTCCCTCGAGAGCATTGGCCACGTGGAGTTCCGTTTCAACGCCGAGAAGGAGAGCCGTAAGGAGGATTCGATCTTCATAAGCCTCCACGCGGATGATAGGAACTACGAGGAGGCTTTGCCCTCGGAGAGCGTGTCGATTCCTCTCGAAACGCCCACCAAGCTGCTGGACGAGTATGAGTCGGAACCGCTGACTGGGAGCATCGTCACGGAGGTATCCATCGAGCATTATCCACCGCCGTCGAGGATAAAGACCGAAGCGTTGATCGAGACGACGTCGAGGCCTTCTTACTCGCGGGATAGCCAGATACCGCAGAGCATCTCGAAGGACTCGGAGATCTCGAGGAGCTCTTCGAAAGATTCGAAGCTGAGCGGTCAAACGAGACCTATCGTGGAATTCAGATCGTCGACGGAAGTGAAGACTCCCGCGGAGCATCGGGTGTCCAGTAGCTCGTCGAAGGATTCGATCGGGAAGAAGGAAGCCACGAAGCCGAAGAGGAGAAGCAAGGAGAAGGCCGTGGAGCAAACCGTCGAGCCGCCCGAGAGGATAGAGCATGACGCGCCGCGGCAGAAGCAGATCAGGGAGCGCGTGCAAGTCGAAGAGTGCAAGAAGGTGGAACCGATGGACGAGGGGCTCAAGCCGCAGGACGTACTTCAGAAAACGCCGAGCGTGATCTCCGATTTGGATCACAACAGTTCGGAGTCGGAGAGGGACTCGGAGATCGATTTTGTCAGGAACAAAGTCGAGAAGCTCGTCGAGGAATTGCCGGATGAGAGGAAAGGACTGTTCTACGAGGAGAGCTTCGAGGAGGACCTACCTTACGTACCGACCACCCTACCCCTGGAGAAGAGCGTCGCTATGCCGATCTTACCAGTGAAGCAACGACTTCAGGAAGTTAGGTAAGTGATACTTCGCTCGCTACAGAGAAAAATTCAATGTGCAGGAAATACGAACATGAAAAAGCTGCATGCGTGTCGCGGTGTACAAATTTCTATTGAAATCGTTTGATTTTGCATAACGAAAACTTTAATTCCTGTTCACGTTTTTGCGTGATCTTATCTGGTCCAGAACGATACCTATCGAGAGACCACGATCGACGACGCCGATAAACCCGACGCTGCTGGACGAGTTCGTGATGCACACGTCTCTCGACGAGCGCCGCGTGGAGAAGATGAAGATATCTCTGCCGCGCGAGGAGAGCTTCAAGCTGAAGAGCCCGCGTAAGCACGGGACGAACACGTTCATGGAGTTCGCGGGCAAGGTGCCCGACGGGGGTCGAAAAGCCGCGGGGAAGTCGCCGAGTCCACCCCCACTGCCACCGAGAGCCACCGCCAGGCCGAGCAACTGGATCAACTTCGAGGAGATACCAGAGAAGAGGAAAGCGCCGAAGAGAATCCAGACGATACCGCGACCCGACGACGAGGTCAAATCCGGCGGGTACAGTTACGTGCAACCGGAGGAGTGCAGGTATGTGCGTACCTCGTCCAAGTATCAGTCAATAGCAGAATTTCCTTGAACAAATGACTTCGAACTCGAACGAACAAGCTGTTATTCAATGATCTTCGTTTGTTCGGGTCGTGCAGGTGCGAATGTCACGAGGAATCGCGGCGCGCGTCGATGAAGGAGGCTGCAGCGACGAGAACGTCGTCGTCGTGCAGCAGCAACGGTGAACGGCCTTGCAACGGTGACAACTGTACGGTGCCGGCGTCTACGTCCATGGACCGTGCCAGTATCGTCAGGTAAACGCGCCCGGGTACGATCGTCGAATCAAAGCCGAACCGATCTCGTAGAACAATCGTCGAAGACGCTAGTGATGAGTAGAGGTCTGTTTCTGTACTTTCAGTGACAGCTCGTTGGAGTGTAACCTGAGCGCTGGCGACGAGAACAACGCGCAGACGAGCTTGTCGACGAAGCCGTTCAGCATGGACCTGGACGTTAGATCGAATCGGTCCAGTATCGTGTCACAGGACGAGACTGACGAGACCTTGCACCAATAATAGTGTTTTTCCACGGCACGATACGTCACCCTCCCGCCTTGCCTTACCACTCTTCTTGCTCCTGTTCGACCAGAAGACGGACGTTCTATCCCCGTTGGAGTCGGTACTCCTCTTCTCTGGCTGCCCTCTGCGTCGTCTACCTGGATAACGAACAGGGATCTAAACGATTTCGAAACGTTTCAAATTGATACTTCTTCGGTTTCCGATAACTGTTTCAATAATCGGAACTGACGTCGAAATTGTCGTCAACCTCTGGTTCTCTGTCAGAATTTCCCGAAGAAAGAGATTTCTACTGTAAGTAATTTTTATTTCCTTTTATACACTCACGTCGTCTGTTACTGATGATTGACAGAAATTCACGGTTTCTCATACAATTACGTAGCCGCGCTACGTGCAATCGTTCTCCCAATTTGATTTCACTCGATACGCGCGAGAGGTGTTCGTTGTCCAGCTCTCAGGCGTCGTATTTTATTCACGAATCGTATTCTGTACACCGTTCCGAGCCTCCTCGAATTTTCTCCTCGTCGAGTACGCAGCTCGGTTCTTCTCCTTGTTTCTCGGAGGCATTGAACATCGAACGTGTACGGCTGTTCCACTCGAATCGTTCAATCCTTGTATATATCTTAAAGAATCGTTTTCGTTTTTAGACTAAGCTCTCGTACCTACTTTCCACGCGGACCTCGTTCGTTCCCTCGACGTTGACAGACTCGCGTGTTTACCTTTTTGAGAAACAGGTAGACCGCGGAGGCACGCTTGCACGCGCGTTGACCAAATGCTTCCTTAATTATGATAGTGAGATAAAAGGGTTAGCGAACCGATTGCCGGGTGTCCGGAGCTCGCCTCGGGGTCGAAATTAAGAGTCTAACGTCGGAAAGTAAGCTAATAATATAGCAAAAGTTACGGCGAATATTTATTAGATGGATCGCCTTGAAAGTATCAGGCCTCGAGGAACCGGAAGTGACGCGCGGCCTCAAATATCATTCGCCCACTTCATGACGGCCCAACTCCTCGACAAAGTCGAAGAGACACAGGGAAATCGGGTCACGAAGGGAGTTTGTTACTCTCGATGCTTCATATCACGTAGATAGGCCTGGCCAAGGTCTGTAAGTACACACCCCCGCGGGGGTTAGGACGCGTTAAAAAGAAAGTTTGTCAAGCGGGCAATTTACGTATTATCGCGCCGGCTCTCGCGATCTTTCAGAACTCATAATTAGACCACGGATTCTTTGCGTTTACAGTAAAATCGAGTACATAAAGAACATAGAAAATGCATATAGCGATACAAACTGCAGAAGATTAAAGAAAGCTCTTCACGAAATGTTATTTCTTTAATTGACACAACATTCATCTTGCACAGGAATCCGCGGCGTGTTTATAACGATGTGTAAAACTTTTTAAAAGAGTCAGACAAGACGGTCGTTCACGCATTTCATCGTCGATTTGGGATAATCGCGAAACGATACATTCGGCTTAATTAATTTGAGATTTTTATCAAAGCTCTCCCAATCCATCACGTATAAATGACGTATGCGTGTTTTCCGTGAACGTGTTGCATGGCGCATATCATACTCATATCCGCGAGGCCGGCGTCATTTCAGCGAGCTCCGAACTCCGATTAGAACGACGGGTACAAACGAGAGACATCTCTCTCGATTCCGTTGGACGTTCAGTAGCGAGGGTATCGATGTTAGCGAGCTTTAATCATGTCAGAATCAAACGACCACGAGCGACAGAATCGATCTGATTGCGTTTTCATTGTACTTGGAGTGCTTCGGTTGCTTCGCCGGGACGGAAGGATCATCCCTCTTTTCGAGTTTAAACAGATTGTTTCGCAACGTATCGGACGGTGTTATTTCCGATCGAAGCTTCCTAAGATGAACTTATTTACATGATCCTTCAACGAACGCATAAGTCATTCAATAAGAAAAGAGACTGAGTTTCGTGACGTCACCGACGGTTTTAATGAGAAATGCATTTTAGGGAGAGATTCTGTTATCTGTGGGTCGAATCGAAGAGTACAAGACGATAGAAATAATTATAGATGTTCTTCGATCCTTAAACCGATAGGAAATTCGATGAAGTCGTTGACGATGTATCGTCGACCGCGAGTAGCAATTCCCCGTGAGATAATTAACGTAACGATTCTATGAAAGCTCGGTCGCTCTTTGTTTGCATTTTTAATCGACGATTCACTAAACTAATTAGCTGTCTCGTACGGACAGGCGTGGATGTTAGAGTAATTTCGGTGAGCCCTGAGGAATTGTGAGATCTGTTGGGTGAGCCGTTCGAGCTTTTTTCGCCGTATGGAATATTTGACACTCACAGAATAAACGCCGCTGGCTCGTGGCCAGCTTATAACATAACCACTCGTTCAGTCCCGCTGCCCTTTAGCAATACACGCGAGCGTTCACGATTACTCTTAAGTTACTTACTTGACGTCTAATAGAGACGTTCCAGTGTTCATTTTATGTAAATAAAGAAGATCGAACAGAGAGCGCATATCGCAACGATGACGGTGTACATGTGTGCGTGTGAAAGAAAGAGACGGTGGGACAAATAGTGAGAGTGCGAAACGAGGAAGCAACCGAACGAGGAATAAAAATTAATGATTATCTGCGTTTTCGACAGATGGCTCAATCATCTTCGAATAAAAGAGAACAAACACGCGCGTTCCTTCCTCTCGATCGTGAAACGTCGTGTGAGGCGAGTAAACTTCGCGGCACACGAATTCCTTTCATCGTTTTAATTATTTTAATCGAATCGCAACGATTCCTGATATTCAGGAGTGCGTGTGTGATCCATCGAACGAGTTCACCCCGGGGAAGAAGGAACTCGGGTCTTCCAACCAGCGCAGCGTTGGGCCATCGCGAAATCATTTGTGAAGCGAGGAACGTTTCGTAATTGCGGGGAATAGACGAGATGAATGAGGTAATTTGATAAACGGTCTCCGCTCCGTGTCGACCAGTGACCCACCTGTGAATGACTGGACGTCTCGGCGATGATTTCAGCTGCGAAAAAATGCGCCTAAACCGAAAATAAGGACAAAGTAAGTGTGCTATTTGAAGTTAGGATTTGATCATCATACGAAACGAACAAATATTTATAAAATATTAGGCATATTTTCGCGTAGGCGCCCAGTCCCTCTCTGGAGGGCCACAAGCGTCGATCGTACAAGCATTTGTTCGTTAGTCGCGGGTGGACAAACAAATATGATAAAAGGAAACGGGAGATATAATGCAAAACAGGAAGAAAAAATCGAAAATCCGTAGAAAAGCGAGAAGCTTCGTCGTGGACGGCTCTAAGCCTGTTATTTTCTGAGAGACAGCAAATTCATTATTCCTATAGAGTCTATTCTTATAAATATTACATATATTATATATATTTCTCTCGACTGAGTTTCGCGGCGATCTTACCCGGGAGTAAGATTCGAGCCTGCGTTCGTTCGCGTGTAAAATGAATAAATTCTTCGCAGATAAAGGTGAACAAAAGGAGATCAAGATTTTTCGCTGTATATATGTATGTTTATTCTCAAAGAAATTATACTGCTATTATATATATATATATATACATATATATATAAATATAACTACATTACAAAGTATAAATAAATATATATATATATGTATAGAGAGAGAGAGCGCGTGCGAGAGAGAGAGAGAGAGAGAGAGAGAGAGAGAGAAAGAGAGAAAATGAAATCATCAAAAACAAAAAAGAACAATGATAGTGTATTAAAAGAGAATAACGTATGCTACGTACGCGTACGATATTTAATTAAAAGCACGTCTGTTTAAAGGAATTGTTACAGAATGGATTCAATAAATAATTAATCTTAATACAAGTTCGAGGCTGGTGATCTGTCAAACGGATCGTCGTCAACGCGAGAAAGATGGAAACGCGACGTGCATACAGCCGATCACCACCGATCTCGGTCCAAAATTCTTTGTTCATTCACTTTCAATAACTAAACATACACCTGTAACGCATACCGATGAATCATTGTGTACTTAATCTGATTTCATTTAATATATTGACTGTTAAGCCTTTGGATCTTGGATTTTGATATAAGTCCCTGACCGCCGCCCTCATGTTTGGCCTCGTCCCTCTTCTTGGCGTCCTTCTCCTCTTTCGAGTCCACCACCACCGGCAGATCTCCATCCCTTAACACGAACGTCATCATCGTCGTCGTCGTCATTTGATTTTGATCGTCCATCGATTGCTACGAGCAGGTAAACGGCGGTCAAGCATTCTGGATGATTTTAGAGTAATTCGGTTGATGTAACAAAGTAAGTACCTGCATCACATTTAGAAGGAACAAGAAGGCGAGCAAAGTCAGGGCGCTCAGTGCAGCTCCATTGCCACCTTTCCCTTTATAGCTTCTGAAATATTTCAGGCGACCCTTTATAGCTTGAGAGCCACTTTTCAAGATACAGAGCTCATCAATTTCTTTTTAATTACCCTCGTGAGCTGTGGTGATATCCTCCGGACCCGCTGTGATGGTAGCCACCGTAATTACCGTAACCGCTGTGATATCTCTCAACGGGTGAGTGGTAAGAATCTTTATATCCACCGAAATTCAGAATAGACTTGATCGTCATCTAAGATCGTACATTATCAAAAGTTATATTATTAAATTTAAACAAATCCATTATATAAAATCGTCGTAATGGAAAGCGTGACACAGAGTCGCGTTGCCTCACCTTAAACGACGAAAATAAAAGAAACCAAAGAAGAGTTTCCGTGTTTCGCAAGGTGAACTCTCGCCGCGATGCGTCGGACCAGACTGCTTTATTCAGGAAACGAATGCCCGTTTCCTCTTGGCTCTTCGTCACGGCCTGCGAATTTTCGACACCTCGTCTTTCCGCAGTTCGCATCGGGTAATCGCGTGACGTCCTCATTATTATTTAGGCAACGGCAATTTTCTTCATTAATTCGTTGCCCTGTTTCTGAGAATTGGGGACAAGAATGAAATACGTAGGACAATTTTTCATGTTCCGGTCGTTGAATTTCATCTACCAAATTTTAACATTTCAATAATTTCAACATTATTGATATAAGTTCGAGGAATTCTGTTGAATTTGAGAGTAGAACATTGTCCAAGGGTTGTGGATAGAGAATAGAGAATTCATTAATCGGTAAGATCTGTTTATTGTTGAAATTAAATACATAAGCGTAACGCGCGTCGTACGTACAAACTTAAATGCTAAAGTGACAGTCCCTAATCGAGCTAAAGGTAGAACGTGGCTATTTGCGAGAAAGAACAAGAAACAACTCCACCCGTGATAGGTATGCGTGTGTTTGCGTTTATTATGTGTATATGTATTATGTATGTATATATATTATATATAATGCATATATACAATAAATAATTTCGAGCGAGTGATAAAACAAACACGATCGATCGCTCGCAGCACACGTACATCGCGTGCCAACTTCAGATACATCAGTCTCGCAGCACGACCGATGTAACAATGACGTTTATGCACGCGATTAAAATTGTTGAGGTTATGAATAATTGCAAAATGCAGAAATAGACGACGTAACGTTAGTTCGTCGATGAGAGGACACGCGATATCTGCGTTGCGAGTGATCGACGATATCCTGAGACGTTAACTCGATACCAATGTGAGGGAAAGGTCTCTTCAGAACGACGAATCCGTTTGAGTCTCATTAGCAAAAGGATTGAATACGGTCGTCTATCGCATCGAATTTACCGGACATTACATTCCCGTTTGCCGTAAAACTCGTCTTCTTTCCAGAAACGGAGAAACTGTCTCGTTAATGTGAACCGAGGATCAAATGTACGAAAGCATAAATCGGATCGACGGTAGGAAAGAACACTTGACGCGTTTCGACGAAGTGTAAGAAATGGAAAGTCGATTATTCAAATCAGAAGAGAATTGTTTCTCCCTTTACTTGGTAGTTCCGTTAAATCTACGTCCACTACGTTCAATAAATAGAAATAAATACCGTGATTAGCGTTGGTGGAAGCCCGAACGGACGAGGTGTCCGGGCCCGAAATATCGTTCAGTCTACTTCTACGTTTAAAAATGTATTGCGTATTTCCAACCCCTTCTCTCGTCTGTCTCTCTCGAACTTCTCTGCCTGACTTTAAGTTAATCGAGGAAATAATCGGATAAGTCAGTACATTGTAATAATCGTAAACGAATCGTTGAAAGTTCTGAGCGAGTCCAGTGTTTCAATCTGTCTTCTATTCGACTAACAGAAACTGAGCTCGGAACTCTCTGAGTCCAAGGAAGGACGGGACTTTGATTGATCGACCAATTAATCGCGTTCAATTTGTTCGCGCTTAACAATTAATTGAATGAAAACCGATTCGTGTTTGATCGATGAAGGGGAGTTCGTCGATCGAGAGACTCGAGAGTAGGATCACCGGAACGTGGTTCGCCTCGACACGGTTTCCGCGCGTAAAGCTAGTCGTTTTCGTATACGATCTAAACCTCGGGACGCGACGGAACTCGGGTTCGTTCCACAATGAGTGGAACGTTTCTCCAACAATGAATTTGTTTGACACGTTCTAATTAATTTTTAACTCGGCGATTGATCGCGTCCCGCAGCGTGTAAATCGTACTCGAATGGGTCCATGCAGCTTCTCATACGGCGTTGCAGTCCATGAAGAGGGTTCTACAGTCCTCGCCGGTGCGACCGCGTCGGCCGGCTTCGTACAACGCTTCGAAACCTATCCCGCTTTGCCTCTGGAGGAGATAGCTCGTCGCGTACCTGCGAACCATAGAATTCCAATGATAAAATCTTTCAACCCTGTAATCCCACTTGGTCACTTATTCAAATGATCACCTTACGTAATATAAAAATTTAGGAAATGATCGATTTTTGTAAAATAACTCTTTCCTTAATATTACACAGGAATCCCTTTTTTACAAACAGGTAAGAGAAATGCGAAACTATTATGATAGAAACGGAGGGAATGAAGGTACTTACGATCCCAGTTGACAGAAAATGGAAGAAGTGCCCTGAGCATCTGCCACGCATTCGCGGCTCGCCTCGCAAAGAGCTCTCTCGGCGCAACCTCGCTGTCCTTCGTCTTCGGCGCGTCCCACGTTGTTAAACGTTTTCACGGATCTCATGTAACCCTGAGAGGGATAAACAATTCGTTTAAACCTCAAATTTTTAGGAGAGATGAAGAGTGTTGGGGAGTACCTTGAGCATCGAGATGGACGCGACAGCGGCCTCTGAGACCGTGTCTCGTCTTCCCATAGATCTGGCCGTCATCGAGCGATGGGAGAACGAGGTCTTCAACGCATCCAGGAGATTGATCACTATGCTAATGAACTGTTTCGGAAGACTCTGCGTTATTGAATCCGTGTGTAAGATATATCGCATTGGTAATCGACAGGGTGGAAGCATTCTACACGAGGGAAGCGTATATTTCGTTCTATCCCGACCCGTCGACGCTTCGGCAAAAAGTCGTTTATACAGAATCTATAGAATTGCACTTTAGTCGCAATTTCTTTCGTCCCAATTAGCGTGCCTTTCTATTTTAATACGTCCTAGATAAAAATTAACATAGATTTCAATCAAATATTGAGTTGGCAACTAAATAATTGCGGAGTGTATCAATAGACTTCTTATTTAAAATCCGCAATCACTTAGTTGCCAACCCGATATATCTAGAGCTAGGTAACGGAGTATGTAATTCGTGAAGGGAGAGGAACAGGTACAGTTATCCTATACCCGTTCACCTTTGGCGAAGCGTCGGTCGGGTCGTAATCAGTTTAATGTACAACGTGTCTCGTGATTGCTTAGCTTAAGTACTGACCTCGGAAGCGTTTTTAGCCATAACAGCAACCTGATCGGGGTCTCTGCCCTGTCCTAGAAACGCGCCCAGCACCGCGGTCAAAATGCCCTAAACAACCGACACCAGCCGTGTGCTCTAATTTGTATGTTTTTTCTTTTCACGCTCTCTGTACTCGTTTATTTACAAGGAGGGTGGATAGGTGTTTGAATGGATTCCGGGAGCTATCCGACGTCGCTATCCGAAAAGACAACTTCGTGACGCGACGTCCTGTTATCACCTACGTCGACGGGTTTCGAGAACGAAAGGGAATCGGTGAATCTACGTCGAATATGGGGAAATTAAATCGTTTAGAAAACCATGAAGATTGTTAACGTGATCAGTGTCCTCTTCCTTAATTGCAATACCAGACCATGAGGTTCGTTAACAGAAGTAACAGCTCGTGTCGCTCAGTTTTCTCTTTTAGTATGAAAAAGAATATTTCACAAAAGACGTCTGAATAGAATTAATACAATAAAATTAATAATATATAACGCGATGAAAAATAATTGGATTCATTTCGGGAAGGGTTGACACGAACTCCGCTGAAATATTCACGGGATTCTTAACCGGTACATACATGATACGTGAGAGGAAGACGAGTATAACTGTTCGTTTTCCGTTACATGCTCAGCGATGTACAGTCTACTGCGTAGGTGTGCCACTAACAGCTAATCAGCTTATTCAAATGTACAGCGTGTCGTATGTGTGCGCGCGTGGGTCCGTGGTGACCCTACAGGATCGGAGATCCGTCGGAACGGTCCCATGGTAGATAATCGATCGAGAATCGTAATTAATTAGAAAAGGGAAATGCTCGTGTTCCATCCAGTGTGGCTATCACCATGGAATAATTCCGACGAGCCCGCGATGCATGACCCAGATCGCGGATCCCGCGGTACAGTCAGTTCGGCTTGCGCCTGCTTGCTTTCGTTACGCGACCCGAATCGAGATGAAAGTCGTGGTGGGGAACTCGTGGTCGTTCCTCTTAACCGATTGCTTTCTAAATTCGTTAGCGCGGTGTATAAATTCTTTTATGACACGCTTATCACCGGTAATATAAAAATACCGAATGATCATCAGGAACAATATAACGTTGAAATGAATTGAATAGTAGTATCGTGAACCGAGCGAGGGTGTTCATAATCGAAAATAAAAGCATTGAAAACGATTGTTCTGTGAAACAGGCAAAGTCTCGAAGCGGAAATGACCGTAATTTGTGGTGAAGTCGGTGGAAGAGGTATAGCGAGATCGTAAAATTCAGTCTGTCATACAAATTATTATTGGATTTAGCTTTCAAGGGCCAAGGTAAGTAAATTTATTTGGTACCCTTGTGAATGACGAAAATTAAAGAAATTTTGTTCTAAAATTATTCTGTTCTCCAGTAATGAGTGTTTTCATGTCTGATAACTAAGCGACAGATAGCGATCACCAATTTTTCTGACTAGTTTTAAGACCTCGCTGCACCTCTTCCGCTGTACAAGAATTCGTACGTCGAGAAGCTTACCTGCATGGGGCTGCTCTGATTGTCGACTTTGTCGATGCCGTCGACGGACTGCTGAGGACCACCCAAGATTGCGGTGAGCACCCTGAGCCCGACGGACAGGAGGTTCGACCAAGGGCTGGCCGGTGCACCGTCGTCGATCTCGTTCTTGCTCGGTCCCGTGATGCCACCCGTTTGTCCCAGAAGCATTTGCATCAACATGCTCAGCATGTTCGACCACGAGAACCCGGTACTGCCACCCTCCTGCGCGGGACAATAGAATAGCTCATCGATCTCAGAGTTCGAGGTAGAAAATCCTAAGCGTCGTGGAACGGCTAGAATCGAGGGAACGACGCGAGTAGATCGTGGCCGAGTTTACCTGAATTTGATTGGTGCTGATGTCGTCCAGATCGTCGAGGGCGACCTTCTTCATGGCGTTCGGCTTCTCAGCGAACTTCCTCTCGTCCCTTACCTGGGGCTGATACTGTTGCGGATACTGAGGATGCTGCGGCAGGCTCGCTGCTTGCCCGAGGACAAGCCCCACCAAGCAAAGGGCTACGTATTGATGATAATTCATTCTGCAACCGAGACCGCAAATCTACAAACCTGATTTTCAGAGAAGACGACGTGCGAATTCGAACGCGACGGGAAAGCTATGAGTAAGCGTGAAAGGGGTTGATGCAACGCTCTCCCCGTCGACGAGTGACTCAAAAGAGAAAACAAGAACGAAGGAGAATCCGGATCCGAACACGGTTCCGGGAGAAAATCGTCAGAGATCGAGTCACACTCCCAATACCTCGCAGCTTCCGTCCCACGAGCTGATCCGCGCTCTCTCGACTCGTCTATTTACGATCAACGCTAGGATTTTGGAAATCAAATGTACGAAGGTGCAAATAATTTTCTTATTCTTTCAGAGAGATTCGCGAAACGTCGTACGCGTCGGCAGTGGCAGGAAGCGGTACCGTAAACTCGATAGAAGGCCGTACTTAAGCAAGTATCGGTGGCCTTGATCTTGAAGACGAGGAACGGCACTTGCAGGAAAAGGTGAGCGATCGCTTCGCGCGCGGAACGAATAAAGCGGAATGAAGCGGTGGAAAGGATCCGACGTCGCGGTGAGCGGGCAGGAAAAGTGTGTCAGAGCGGTTAAGGTCAACCTGGCAGCACCGAGTAGCCCACTTCTCCGATCGGAGCTACCGGTTTGTTCAACCTGGCGTGTACCGTTACGTGGAAACGCGGTCGTGACCTACTCGACCAACCTGACTCGCGTTGAAAAAAAGATGAAACGAGAAAAACGAAGAGAAAGAGCGGAAGAAAGCCTCGAACGAATTTAGATTCAATACCTGCGGGCGTTCGGTGAACAGGTGAACGAGTTCATTAAGAGCGATTGCGATGGGACGATTGTTTATTGAGGAACGTAAAAGATTTTTAATTGACATATCGAATGGACATCGAGTGAACCTACTATGCCTGTCCGACACGGTGCCTAGCCGCTGGAAATGGTCGCGAATCATTTCTAATTGTACCCGACACCTGCAAAAGGAATCTTCTACCTGCTCTCGTATCGGCTCGCACGTCTCACCGTTATCCCTGACCGGTCCCGACACTAAATGTTCAAAGCCCGACCCAGCGAGAAAGGTATAACGCGATCTGTCAAACGTAAAATTTTCTAAACGAAACGACGGATTGTACTTTTATCTTTGATATTACATTCCTCTGACCCTAAGTAATAATAGTACAAAAGAAAAAAGACGAACTCGGAACCATTAAAAAATCAGAGAAAATCGTAGAACGTCCTCGCGTTACTCACGCGTTCGGCGGGTAACGGAAAGATTCGTATGAACTCGGGGCAGATTAATAATAATACCGCTTCGCTTCGACTCGCTTAGGTGAACTGTACTGTGGTGTACTCACTCGGTTACTTTCAGGCAGACTTCCTTGACACTGACTCTCAGTTCTGAAGATGAAATTCCACGCGGGGTCTTCTATATAGGTTGCGATCTCACGTGGGGGGTAGACCGTACGGCCAATGACCACGCACCTTTGGCTTTATTTTCAATGGAACTGACCAATCTTCTACCGATCCCATCTGTTCGCCGATCCCGGAGGTCTACTTTTTGACGACGCTTTTCGACCAGCATTTTACGGTTTCGACGTAACACGCGGCTTTTATTTCGATCGAACGATCTTTCAGAAAGATCCGCTTTTATCCTTCGTAGAGCCAAAGAATCGGTAGTTCTTATTTAAAGGAAGAAAGAACGTAATAAATCTTTTTATATTTACGACAAGCAGATCAGGGAAGTTCTCCCACGGACGTCAATGTCATGTGTCAATGGCACATAATTCTGTAAATTCCACGAAATTGTACGCGACATTCGTTGCGGTAATTTTTTCGCCTGCTTACGGAAACGTTCTTATAACAACATTTCTTATTTTATCAGATTCCTTCGATGGCTAATCAACGGGAGTAAATTACAGCTAGGAGGGAAATGAAAGATGAAAGTCATCGACCTTTCTTCAAATTATTTATTTTACTTATTGAATCGTCAGAGGAGTGCCGAATCAAAATGGAACGATGGTGCTACATCGTCGTTTTTGTACCAAAGATACAATTTGAAAATGATTTACAGATTGTGGATGTGTAAATCAAAGGAAACCGAGTATCGTTGGATCATCGCATGGAGTCATTCAAGTGTTCACGGCCCGAGGCTTTCCTTTTCTTCTTCAAGGCCCACGTTGCGTGCAACCCTCCTAGGCGATCGCAATTCATCATAACTGTTTCAGTAGCGGGATGCTGGAGTCGAGTCTTCTTATTAGGAGGATCTCGCTAATCGTCGGCTATAGAAATGACCTACACTCCCCGTGGTACATAGATCAAGTCTTAAAACGTACATTCACCTGCACCTGATTTCAAAGAAGATTAAAGTTCTTTAATAGGGAAACGTGATCCATTGACCACTCATAGATTTTAATAGACCGTCAAACATTAAAAAATTGCAATGAAACGAAGAAACAAGGAAGGGATGGTTACTGAGATTTAATGAGAATTCAAGTAGTGCAAGAGCGATTAATAATTTGTTTCACGATCGGAATATACCGATAGATATTCATGCACGTTTCAAACCGAAGGAATCATGCATCATAGATAGATGGTAACGTAACGGGACCGGCGAACGACCTTCGTGGAGGTGAACCAATTCTATGCTGGATGTAACCCAGTCCCTTTCTCCCTTTCTGCTTCCTTTCATTAATTAATTCAACAGAAATATCATGCTATTACTCATTATTAGCTTTGACAGTGAGAAAGTTACGCCTCCTTGCGAAATATCTAGCGACGAAGTCGAATCGCAGATATTTCTACTTTTTGACCGGATCCTCCTTTTACGCGGATCGCAAGATATTTTTACGAAGTGAGTGTAAAGGACCGTTGAAAGAACGCGATGCGTCTCGTAACGGGAAATGTTTGATCGTTCGTTAGCAAGTGGTTTAGAGTTCGTTGGAACGGGAATTCTTAACGAACACACGCTAACGCCGTTTGCTACGAAGAGGTATCTCTCGTTTAACAAGTTTCTAGGCTACGCCTTGTACGCTCGTATGCATGTACTCTCCTCCGAGGTGGCTCGTCCGAGCGAGCGGCCGCGCGTTCGCTCATCCCGAACGAGCTTGGAGAAATGATCGTTCGCTATGTTCCGGCATGTTACGTATAATAAGACCGTACAGAATAAGAGATCGGGGCCCGCTATTAGACCTCTGCCACTGACACAGAAATTCAATTGCATACCAACGACCGCGAACCGCTCCTTCTCTTATTTTCATTCGTTTCAGGCTCGTAACGAAGCTCTGTATAAATTGAGATTTGTATGAGCGTATAAACTATTCTAGAGAACATTTTCTTTTGTCTAAAACATTATTCAAAAGTTTTTACAATAAATAATTGTATTTATTAATTAATTATTGACGCTAGCAACAAATTTTTAAGCATAGGTTGTAGGCACGACATATCTGCATCTTAGATGGATCCTTTTTGACGTCTCTCAAATTTCGTACGATTCCAAACAACAGAAACGAATTCTGTTTATCAAACCCGCGAATATATCTTAATGAAACTTGATAGACGATTTCAAAATTAAAATCGACCCTTTCACATGCGCACCGACGAGATATTTCCTCTCTGGTATTGCTTTTGAATTGCATGTAGTCATCGCATCGCGATTCTGAACTCCAACCTCAATCTCAAGACCGCACAGCATACAGTTCGTGACAGGGTGACAGGCAGTTTTCAGTGTTGTGCAAATTGATTTTCAACAAGGCAGCGAAACGTACTTGTTAAAATGGAGTGTTTGATCGGGATACAATTTAAGGACTTTGTATTAGTCGCGGCTGATATGACCACGGCTCAATCTATCATGGTTATGAAGAACGGTAAGATTATTGTAACTTATAACCTGGAAGCTTTTAGTTGTATCGTTCAGTTCTCTCGTGTTTATTCCAATATACCTTCCTCTACTGTATTTGCAATTTAATCGAACGCATAAGAAATATGAAGTTTCTGTGCAACGACTGCAAGTCATGTTTTTCGGTATTTCAGATGAAGAGAAAATCTACAAAATGTCTGATAAACTCGTTATGGCTGTGTCTGGTGAATCCGGAGATACTACACACTTCTCAGAATACATTGGGAAGAATATACAGCTTTACAAAATGAGGAATGGCTATGAATTATCTCCTAAGGCAGCTGCCTTGTTCACTAGAAAGAACTTGGCAGATTACCTTAGGAGTAGAACTCCTTACTTTGTCAATTTGTTGATAGCTGGGTACGACGATAACACTGGACCAGAATTATATTTCATTGATTATCTGGCATCCTGTGTCAGAGTGCCTTATGCTGCTCATGGCTATGGGGGTTTCTTCACCCTTTCTATTTTGGACAGATATCATAAACATGGTAAGGAATCTAGAATCGTCGTACAGGATTTGCCATTGACTAAGTTCTTTATCAAAACACCTCACATGTACTATCGTATGTTACAGATTCAACAGAAGAAGAGGCATACATTCTAATGAAGAAATGCGTTAGAGAAATACAAAAGAGGTTGATAGTTAATCTTCCGAATTTCAAGGTACAAAAGATATCTAAAGAAGGTATAAAAAATCTCGAACCTATCACAGCCAAGAACTTGGCAATAGAAGACGCGGATAAAGTATAAACTACCCATTTTTATTCATTTTATTATATCATTTGCAATGTAAGAAATAAAAGTATTGAAAAACGAGACGCCGATGATAATTGACGTTTACATTTCCAGAAGAGCGATGAGTAATTTTCACAAATTGCATAAATGAAAAAATCTAATTTTATTTTACCCTCGAGAGACTTTTATAAATTGTCCTAACTATACATATTTTACAAAATTCACTCTTTTGATAAATTATTACAACGTATAATTACACGTAGAAAAGTTGTATAAACTCATGGAAAAAATCGTAATTTGTTAAAATTGTGCACGTGGAAAGTAATGTATTCGTTTTTAATGATTAAAGTAGTACATAGCTCGGATGATGAATCACACATACGATGCGTCCGAACTCTATGTGTAAATAATCAAAGAAGACTAAATTTTACACGGAAATGGAAGAAGTCAACCTAATGTTTCTTTAATTACACTGCACCGATTACGAAGCGGCTAAATATTTATGTACCCTTTACTTAAAAAGAACGGACAAGGAAAAATAGTTTATTTATAAGGCAGTACTAATTTCGCTTTCGAGTAATCCTATAAATTACTGATATTAATCTTATTACGTGTACTGACATTTAAGAAAAGCAAAATGAATTCGGAATAATAACAATTGGGAGTTGAACTTTCCACGATATATCACGAAAGAAAAATCGAACGTAAGATCACGTCTTACGTTGTACGTGTAAGACAGAATTGTTCGTGTCACTGAGACGTTTCAATTTTATGATTGTACGAGTTGAGCATAAGACAAACTATTGTTTCGTTCTCCTATTCATGATGAATTAAAAATGACACCAGCATAATAGTAATGCTGAGATTTGTATTACGTCGCTTAAGTGCTAATATTATGATTCTTTTTTCGTCTCTGCTTGTGTTTGTGTCGCAGATTCTGCTTGTTTCGCGCTAGCTGGATGATCCTCGTACCTGAAAAATAACACGATTTACGATCTCGTCGTCTATAAGAGATTCGGCGAAGAAAGTATTTGACACGTACGAAAATAATGCCTTCAGATCTCCTTTGGCCAGTGCGAGAAGTAAAGGAGTTCCCAGGCAGGCGGGTACCAAGTACAGCAGAGCCGGTTGTGCGTGATTGAATAAATGCATGATGAGGATCGTCGCTAACAGGCCCATAAAATACGCGAAGAACGTCGAGTAAAAATAGACGTTTGTCTTCCTGCTCAAACTGTTGTCAAATCGCAACAAGAGAGCGATAAAAATTCCAGGCAAGACTATGTCACCCAAACCCAGCATCGCGAAATTGCTAGCGGTGAGACCCTTCTCCAATATATCTTGCGGGAACACCAGTTTAATCGGCACTTCGAACGATTTCGCGACGGTGACCATTACGTCAGTACCGAATACCCAGAATGCATCGTAAAACAATAGTCCGCAAAGTAGAATACATCCTGTTACGACGTTGTTCACGTGTAACAGTTCGACTCCGTTAATCGCGAACGCGATACCAAACAGATTATTGGCAATCCAATGCTGCAAAGGAAAATGAAAATAGAATACGTTCTTATTAAAAACAGATTTCGTTTTCACGTACTTACCTTTTTCAAGAGGTACCAAGCCCCGACAAGGGAGCAACATATTAAACAAACGATATCATGAAAATTGAATTTATAATTAATAATGTGCTCTGCCTTATCACCTTCGCCCCTGGTAAACTGTATGTGATACGGGGTTTTGGGAATCGCAGCAGGTACTAGCGATGAAATTAATGGACTGAAATCATAAATCATTTGAAAAATACTTATGACGATGGTGTATCATCGATAGAACTGAATATTATCTCTACCTAGTGAGGTGACACAGAGCCAAGATTCCTACGAAGAAAAAATATCCAGCTAACACTTGATTAACATAATCCTTAGCAAATACCTGGAAGAAAGTTACATCACGTTTAATCTTCTAAATTGGATTATAAAAATTCCTTGAGCGAACAGCTAGCAGAGTTCTTGTTACCTTATACAATACGTATAGCCCGACTAAGGCGAAGCTTGAAATAAAAGGAAATATAGCTGCTTCCTTGCAGGACATTGTTTCTGGTTGCTCTCCACTTTCTTTGCATTGTTGCTGCAAGATAGAAATGTTTAATCATTCAAAGTATCCCTTGTAGATCTTTTAATAACACGAGTATTGTCGAATTGTCAAAGTATCATCTCGACAATCATAGAAAATAGAGAGTTTGAACGCTCGGAAATGATCAGGGCTCGAAACGTTGGTCAGGATTAATTTATAGGAAAATTGATATCGTTCACGCGTACGCGCGAAACGTTTGCACATATGTCAAACCGCGTGACTAACCTGCTGCTCCTTATGGTGTCTTACAGCCCGATAACTGCCGAAGAATATGGGTAAAATGGCCATTACTATCAAACTCCCGTAGGCGAGGGCCATTCCCTCGGGTGTCGACACTATTCTGTCTCCCATTGCCTCAGTATTTTCCTTCAGATTCTCACTTGTTTGGGCAGCGAAATCGTTTACTTCGCTTGCCATCTTGGACCGATTAATCAGACTGATCAGACTGAAATCAGACTCCGCGCAGACGTCAGTCAGGCGAGAGAGAACAGTGACAAGAGTGACACGACTTCAAAAACGAAATCTTCGAAAAAATGAGTTAGAGGTGGATAAATTCCGTTACATATTTTTTCAACGGCCCGGGATAGAAGTATATAAATAATATAACATAATATAATATAAATGTTAATTGTTATTTGCGTAAGGACTTCAGTATTTTTAATCAAATCGCAAGAGATTCATCTAAAGTGCTTAATATTGAACAGATTTAAAAATCGTGGATCCCGTTTGCAATCACAACATTATGAGAATTTGTTGTCTATCTTGTATTTACATATCTGACGCTTATATAGAATATCGCGCGCTTTTGAAGTCATGAGAAAGCCGAGAAAGCCGAAAGATTTATAAGTTACGAGAAACCACCGATATTGTTCTCGTTTAATTCGTAATTGCGTGTATACAAAGTACTGACTACAGTAAAAGGAATTCATAGAAGCTAAACGTATTGTTAGCTGTTATTGTACTGTAACATCATATTGAGAAATAACGTTCGAATAAAATATGAGCCTTTGGGTGGATAAATATCGTCCAACGACGCTTGGAAAACTAGATTATCACAAGGAACAGGCAGAGTACCTGAAAAATATGGTAATTGAACAGTTTAGAAATGAAACATCTATCAGAAATTGATGGGACAAGATGGGTTAGGCGGGAAAGCGCACCATTTACCGTATCACTCAAAGAAAATGTTTTTACACGATTTAATTAGGTGCAAAAAGGGGATTTTCCACATTTACTGGTTTACGGACCATCGGGAGCTGGAAAGAAAACTCGTATCATGTGCATCATAAAAGAGTTGTATGGGAACGGAGCAGAGAAATTAAAAACAGACACGATGACATTCGAGGTATTTTCTTTCTTATATTTCATTAGATTTTACGAATAACCGATTTATCTGTGCTCAGACACCATCCAAAAAGAAACTAGAAATCACAACGATAAGTAGCAATTATCATATTGAAGTAAATCCCAGTGATGTGGGTATATATGATAGGGTAGTGGTGATGGATTTGATCAAAATGATTGCTCAAACCCATCAGATTGATCCAAGTGGACAAAGAGAATTCAAGGGTAAATACTGTGCTGTGTTATTGGCATGCAGGTGGTAGATTCACAAAAATGTATTAAAGATCATGTTTATTAGTTGTGCTGCTGACAAACGTCGATCAGCTTACGAGAGACGCTCAGCATGCTCTTCGAAGAACGATGGAAAAGTATGTTGCCACGTGTAGATTGATACTGTGTGCAAACTCGACGTCGAAAGTTCTGCCAGCGATTAGATCGCGATGTCTAGCGATCAGGATTCCAGCACCGACGATATCGGACATAAAGAACATTTTACAATTGATTTGCAAACGCGAGGGTTTAACTTTGCCAGAGGAGCTTGCAGTTAGATTAGCGGAGGCCAGCGGTAGAAATCTTAGGCGAGCGATTTTGATGCTCGAGGCTTGCAAAGTTGAACAGTAAGAATCAAGGAGAACCACGTCTCTGCTAATTAAGAACATCAAGGATAATCTTCAAGCTGTTGTTGTTTTTAGATACCCGTTTACTGCCGATCAAAATATCACCGAGGCAGATTGGCAAGTGTATATTCGTAACACAGCCAGTATGATGGTCTGCGAACAGACACCGCAAAAGATTCATGCGATCAGGGAGAGACTTTATGAATTATTAACACACGCGATACCCTGCGAACTGATATTTAAAGGTCTTTTACAGGAGTGCATAAAAAATTGTGATCTTCAGTTAAAAATTGAAATTGCAACGATCGCAGCAGAGTATGAACATAAGATGCATAAGGGATCGAAAGCGATCTTTCATTTAGAGGCATTTGTCGCACGGTTTATGGCAATCTACAAAAAGTTTATCGATATGTCCCTCGAAGATTTTATGTGACACTTTTGTATTTTTATGTATTAAAATCCAAGTATTACCAATGAATTCTGTATAGTTGTTTTACCTAGTAATTGCAAGTAATATCCAAATCAAGAACTGTACTACAAATGAATAATACAATGTCTGTCGCATGATGCGATGAAAAAGCTACTAACTGAATTTGATAACGTGCGATGACAAATTATTTTTGTTAATTTAACTGCAACTAAACTATTCGTTATTCATTCGGGCTTCCTACGTCCGAACACATTTCGAGGGAATTCCTCTTACGTCGAATAAAATTTTATACCGTCTACGGAAATACTTTTTCTGTACTAACGTTTACAATTAATAATTTTTCAAAATTCATTAAACTGAATTAATTAAAAATTGGACCTCGCAGTAGACTGTCAAATCGCACTCTAAACACGGCAATGAGAATTCGCCGTAAACACGGCAAGCAAGAGTTTACAAATGTTCAGTGGGAATTAATTACTGAATTAAAAACCGGAGAAATGTGCAATTAACATACATAAAATGAAACAATTCTAACGCTTCTCCAATTCGTATTTTAAGAAATGAATGCGAGGTATTAATATCAGAATACGATCGATCTTACGTTGCATCTGTCAGGTTAAACGGCTGGATTGTTTTGTATTCAGATAAAATACTGTAGAGTTCGTTTAAATACTAATTTCATAGCGTAAAACATAACAGGAATAAATATATTTCGATTATATAAAAATGTGAATGAACTGTAATACAAATGTTCCATGCTTCGATTAATATGCAAACCTCTCGTTTCTTCTTGGTGCATTATTAAATATACTCTTCATATATTTGTGATCTTATACTTTTTTCAACTGTTGCACTTTGCATTTTGTTAACAGATACCAGAGGATTAAAAGGGCGGGCAATGGGCACATGGGAAATAAAAAGACATCAAATAAACTTGTCAATGACAGGAATCAGTATTACATTTGTAACACTGATGAGATAACTTTTTCCCATCGAGAGAGATACCTAATTTTCTACCTCTGAGAAAAGCATATATTTGTAAACTGTGAATTATGATTAACTGTTAAATAAGTAGCTTATTTTTATCAAACAAGTGTAATCTTATAGTTCGAACTGCTGAAGAGAGATTCATCATTGAAAACATGAATTCACTTTGCAATACAGCAGCCAGAAAGTTGCATTACAGGGGACAAGTTGATGTAATAGATATGCCGATAAAATTAGCTTGTGATTACAAGTATTTTCTCGTGTACGAGGACCAAGTATCGAGATTCATTGTATTGGAAGGTCTGCGTGAAAACACAGCGAACGAAGTAGCCGAGAGACTTCTAGAGGCATTGGCTATTATCGGAGCACCACAAGTCTTGCAGAGCAGAAATGGACGTAAATTTGCGGAAGAAGTCGTGCGTGAATTACGTCTATTGTGGAAAGATTTCATAATACTGCACGGAGATATGAGTGAAATTACTGAACAGGACAGAGACTTTAAGAACTTGGTTGAATCGTGGGTAGAGGAGAATCCAACAAAATCGTGGAAGCAAGCTTTAAAATATGTACAGATCCTCCAGAATACAACGTTTTGCTGTGCAGATGGAAAGGTACCTTATGACGCGGTGTTTGGAAGGAATGTACATGAAGAGTTTAAAAAACGAATGGTAGTTTCGAGAGAAACTATATGGACAGAGGAAGAATGGATTAATCTTTGCCTTAATCAAAAGAATAATATTAAGGCAGAAGATAATCAGCAGCCTGTCGAAAACTCAGTTTTTACAAACATCAAATACGAAGATAGTGTGAGTATAATGTTGTACGATGCAATTACACAATTACGCGTTATTAACTGTTACTCTTTGATTTATTAGTTAAATGACTCTGAGAGCGAAGACTCTTCGGATTTAACTCGCGAAGATAGCGACAAGGTGCAAATGGATGCTCCCGAATTTAATTTCGTGAACGTGAAAAGTGAACCCATAAACGCGCACACGGAAGATTCATTATACGAAGATGAATCCGGTACGGACGATAAAACACTAGAAGAGAACCAATCGGATTTGAAATGCAAAGTTTGCCAGAAACAATACATGAGGCCTGGTCATTTGAAAAACCATATGAAGACGCATAGAAAAAGGAAAACGTTCGAATGTAAACTGTGTAACAAAACGTTTCACGTCCAAAGTTTATACGAGAAGCACTTGCGGCAGTATCACGGACAAAATAAGTTATCCACATTGACCAGAAGCAGAAGAAGCAAAGAACCGGCGTTGGACACGAGAGCGTCTAAATTAAGATGTTCCTCGGATTCGAATCTCGATGAAACGAATGAATCTCGAAAGGAAAGGAGAAAACTGATAACGAATAATAGAACGATGAAAGTAAATGGAGAGTCCGCTCTGAAATGTTCATATTGCAATCAGAAGTTCAGCTTCCCTAGCGTATTGAAGAGACACATGCGATCGCACACTAACGAGAGACCCTACATTTGCGACGTCTGCAATAAAAGTTTCAAACAGTTGGGCCACCTTAGTCAGCATTCGTTGACGCACAAGGATTATCGGTCTTTCCATTGCGCCGTTTGCGGGATAAAGTTCGAATCTTTAGGGTCGTTAAAGATCCACGCTCAGTCGCACAAGGAGGGTTACGTCTCGAACACTAAAGACGCGTTCCGTCTGTACGAATGTGATAATTGCAAAAAAGTGTTCACGACTAAGAGCGTGTTGGAGCGGCATATATTAACCCACTCTCACGAACGACAGTTCCCGTGCTTGATCTGCGGGAAAAGGTTTAAGCAAGCGGGACATGTAAAATCTCACATGCTGGTGCACACTGGCGAACGTAAGTTCGAATGCTCGGTCTGCCAGAAGAGATTCAGCCTCTCGAATTCATTGAAGAAGCACATGTACGTGCACAACGGGGAGAAACCGTACCAGTGCGACGTGTGCGGCGCTCGGTTTCTTGAGAAGAGGAATCTTAACGGGCATCTGATGACTCACACGAACGAGCGCCCGTTCCGGTGCAAGATCTGCGGGAAACGCTACACGTTGGCGGACACGTTGCGCCGGCACATAAGCGCAGCGCACGAAGACGGCCGCACGTATCAATGCGAGATATGCGCAAAGATGTTTAAACAGCTCGCTCACCTGTCCGTTCACAAGAAGGTGCACAACGACGAGCGGCCGTTCCAGTGCCACTTGTGCGAAAAGAACTTTAAGCACAAGAACGTGCTCAAGTCTCATCTGGCCATTCACGCGAACGTTCGACCGTTCGAATGCGACGTGTGCAAGGCCACGTTCGTGAGGAAGACGAACTTGCAGACGCACATCGCATCGGCTCACATGAACGAGAGGCCGTACGTCTGCACGATCTGCGGGAAACGATTCAAACAGATCAGTCACTTGAACGGTCACGTGGTGGTGCACAGTAATCTGATGCCTTATCAATGCGATTTCTGTGATCGGCGATGTAACAGGCTCGATAATCTGAAGAAACATATGCGTCTTCATAAAAAGAACCAAGAACAGACGGTGTAAGGTAATTGCCGGCACCGTCGAGATCTATTTGTATTATCATGCATGCGTATCCTCCTTTAACGATCTGACATTTTTTAATCGAGCAAATTTTGTTTATAATCCCGTACAACTTACAAATTTGAAATATTTTTGTATCTCACCGAAGAAACGCGAAGTGTTTAAATGCTCTATTCTTTTGGAAGTAGTTTGATAAATGGTTTATTTTTAATAGAACGTCTCTGGTCATAAATGTATTAAAAATGGCAATGAAAATTCCAAAAGAATACAACATGACATTTCTCTTGTATTTTAACTATCCGTATGTGTACATAGTAATCTCAATCCAGTTGCAATCTAAAAATTTATAGTCACGATGGGTTGCTCTGAAATGAATTGTGTCTTTTAAAACTTTTTCTGTATTCTAAGATTTTAAGAATCTTACGTTCCCAGCGAAGTTGATTTACATCGCAGTAAAGGATTTGTCATTGTGTTATTTTCTAAATAAATATTATAATCTATTTTTGCCCTGATTCAAAGTATCCTAACTTATTTCGTTCTTCGCTCGTAATCACATTATTGATCTTTTTATTCCAAAAAAAAACGTTGCATAAGCGATCTGCGCGGATACATGTCCATTTGTGTGTCTCTTCTCGCATAGGAAGAAAAATCTGTAAACCTGTTTTGCTGGCAAGAAGTATTGCATATCGTGCCACATCGATTGGAGACAAACCATTTTAAAGAGCTTGCCACAATCAGCGCGAATGCCAGAGCGTGATTACAGCGCGCAGTGTTCTCGTTTGAGTTTGAGTCCGAGACTGACTCCGAGTTGGTCCGAGTGCGATATGGGGTACATTAGGGGTTTAAAATTCGGCACGGCGTTGACGGTACTAATAGTATCAGTCGCGATCTATTACAGAAATCCCGATTATGTTGTACATAAACGGTTGCAAGCTTTGCTCGATGGTTTGGAGAGGCTTGAGAACAGACATGTGATATCGTCGCGGCCAAAAGTAACAATAGGTTACGGTGTGTGCATCGACGTGTACGTGAACGTCAGAGACTTGCTGAGTTACTCTGACGAGGTCGGGAAGCCGGAGCATTTCAATAAAATTAATACGGAATTGGAATTACTGAAAAGTTTCGCCTACTTCTTTCGCCATGGAGCTGCTGCAGAGTAAATATTTATTTTTGATCTACTCGAATATTTACCGAACGTCTGCTCGTAATGCGATTAGCAGACTGCGGATTTTATGCATTTATACGAGAATGGTATATTAGGCTCGCGTCGAGTAATGTTAAAAATGTTGCTTTTAATTGTTAGAAGGTATATGGAAAATAGAACACTCTTCGACGAGCTCGTCGCCAAAGCTCGTTCGTTCGAGTCATCGTACTCTACCATCGGTGGCAATGCTGCAGTTATGGCTTTGCGGTTTGCCAGGGAAGGATGCGACGTAACGCTCGCAGCAAAACTGACCACGTCCCTTCATCAAATGATACCGCAAGTTATCAACGTCGTTGGGGGTGAAGTTAAAAGAGATGACATTCACTTAGTTATAGAATACAAGCACGAAGAGGTGTGGGGTCCATATACAAGCCCCAGAGCTAATAGGTACTGATACTTGGGAAACCTGTGAAACACCGCTTATCGAGATAGTCAGTGAACTATTAACAATATTCCTCAGGTACATTCTCCACAATGACGCTAATAATCCTAAACTTAGCTCTCTCGACGCGTTTGATGATTTTCTATCAACGCACGAGCCTAATCTACTTGTTGTTAGCGGTCTACAATTGATGGATAACTATCCATTGCCGATTGGTAACTGAAATTCCAATATTTCTGGATATCTTATGCGAATAATCGTGTTAACAAGATATTTGTTGGAACACAGATGAAAAGAAAAAACTTCTACAAAAAGTGAACAAGCAAATGTTGCAACCCGAGTCTACTAAGATTCACTTCGAGATGGCATCGTTCACAGAAGCAGAAGTCATTTATGAACTGTTCAATACGATCATACCGTTCACCGACAGTTTGGGGATGAACGAACAGGAAATAGCCATTTTGTATAAATCGTGGTATCACCACAACGGGAATAATTCATTCGTCGCGGACTCGATGCCACGGATAGCCACGGTTTTGGATCAGATGCGAACACTGTTCAAAATCGTGCGTTTTCAGAATACAGTGGTAGGACATCCTCGGTATCTTACGAGACTTCACGTACACACGTTGGCGTACCAAGCCATAATCACTGTGAAAGACTCGAAGTGGAAGAACACGATGGCTGCAGCAGCCAAAGCGTCGCTGACAGCCCATAGACACGTATGCGCGACAAGTCAAGTGAGTTCAACGAATGAATGAAGGCCACTTTCCGTTCGTACAAAACGTTTAAATCGATATACGCACGTTTCTTAACTATTTCAGATCGACGTTAGGAAAGCGACGCTGATACTGGACGAGAGTTTTTCTACGTCTGTAGTCAATGGTACTCGGATACCATTGGATATCAATAAACCAGTCTCCTGCTGGGATGAGATGTTGGAAGATCTGAATAAGAAGATAATTCATATTGAAGTATGCGTAGCGCCGGTGTTAGTATGCACCGAGGTGACTCAGACCGCTGGCAGTGGTGATAATATATCGAGCGCCAGTATCGTTATACAGATCTAATGTATCTCGACAATGAATTCCTATACCGTTCTCTGCTTTGACTCTCACACCAAACAAGATTAGATGTCGGTGCACATCAGCTTTGACAATTTTAGGTCTACGATTCATTCCATTAAGTATCATTCCAACGAGAAGCGCGCTCGCCACTGTCTCGCTCCGGGTTGTAAATACTGGAGTGCTTAAGGATGTATTGGCTATACAGTCAATCCCAAAAGTTTATGTACCTTAGAAAAACGCATTTCCTATAATTAAAAATAGTGCACTTTTGTTCAAATTTCGATATTTAATGAGTTACATATGATTATTTGGCATTTTATTGATGTTGACAAAATCCGACCATTCCAGCGTCGAAATGGCGAACTTTTGGAAAAAAATTTCGTTTTTCCTCAATAACTCCTAAACTCTTGGAGATACGGGAAAATTGCATAGGACCTTTCTTGTAGAAGACGACGAGATCTACAATTTCCATGTAAAAGTTTTTCGCTAGCATTAATAGTTTATGAG